AGCTAGAGTTACAGATGGCTATGAGCTGCCATGTAGGTGCTGGTAATCAAACCTGGGTTCTCTGGAAGGAGCCACCAGTGTTCTTAATCTCTGGCTCCCAAGTTTCCCAGTTTTAAAAATGGATCTGTAAGTTTTGGTGCCCAAGAGCCCAAAAGTGTCAGATACTCTGGACATAGAGTTGTAGACAATTATGAGCCAGGAACTCAAGTCCTTTGGAAGAACAGTAGGTGTTCTTAACTGCTGAGCTATCTCTCCAGTCTCCCAGATTCCCCAGCTTTATAGAACTACATAGTTGAAACACAGCACAAGTGTCAGCAGGATTCAGCCTAAAGATCTTTAAAAACTCCTAAGAATCTAACTAAATTTACATCTAAAGGGTAAAGAACGTCTCTCAGACACAAGGAATTGGTAACATGCCCATCTAGGCAACAGTAACAGTAAAGAAACAGCATGCATAGAAGTGGGTGGCTAAGGGAAAAGCAGGTTTAAGGAAGGAAATTCCTGGCTTACTGGGCACACTCCAAAGCTGGGACGGGGACACAAATAGCGTGGTCACAAAATGTCATGGTCAGCAGTGAAGGACAGATCCTTGGACTACCTCAGCAAGCTGAGCATCAACTGCCTGCCTCTCCTGACCTGATTCCTAGCCACTTGTGGTTAAAAGCTCAGCTTTCAAAAGGAAAAAGAAAGGGAGACCCACAAAAACAAGCAAAAAAACTAGAGTTTTAGACAGTGACACCAGAAGTGGAAGGAAAAATAGGGGACATAAGCAGTCTCCTCACTTCCTTTTTGGGGAAAAAAATTACAGCTAATTTCAAAGTTTTCTGTGAACAAAAACTGTGGATTGTCTCAGATTATCTATAGGTATACTAGCAGAGTCCAATTTCTGGTTACAAAAAGCTCAGGTTTGGACAATGGAAGTTAAAGATTCAAGTTTAGTATTGATATATGTTCTAAGTGCACAGTCAGTGGTAGCCAGCATTTCTACAGTACAGCCCCACGTCCATGCTCTCTCCGTTTAATTTAGCTATTATTCTTAAATCTCAAGACTGGAGCTCTATAGGAAGAATAGCCAAAAAAAAAAAAAAAAAAAAAAAAACCAGCACTACTTACATTAACAAAATCTCCACCCTGAATCATGAAATCCTTTATGACCCTGGAATAGAGTAGTAAAAACAAACAAACAAAACAAAAAACAGAGGGAAGGATTCAGTGGTTTGGTCACCGATATAGTAGCTTAGTATTTTTTCTGAAGTACAATGTTTATCACTGTGGCTTAGAGACTCAGTCTTCCCCTGGAGTGAGCAAGCTGAGGGATTATGAATCATAACACCTTTTAAGCTTCAGGGGCATCTTTGCATTGATTTAAGGTGTATGTATGAGTGAGCACCTGAACAACAGAAAAGGGCTGAAAGCTGTCAGGAAGAAATAATATATTCACCAAAGCAAAAAACATGTGAAGGGCTTAATGCAAATTTTTTTTTGGGGGGGGGAAACAACAGCAAATATATGTGAAATGGACCATCACACGCACAGGGTAATGTAAGCTGGTATATTCAGGCATAGTCCTTTCTTAGCCCCAGTTTCCTTCCTTAAAGAATACAGATTACACATACTACCTCACACAAATGCTGGGAAGGATTAAAGACCTTAATTCTAAAGAACCTGATATGGGTGACATGAAAATTTTCTGGATTCAAGTGGAACAACTTTTGCTAAACGCTAACAAAAATTGGTAAATATGGAAAGCCAGGAGTTCATGAAGGTCAGGTTCCTGTATCAGACTGCCTGATAACAGCAATTATTACAAAAGCTTCTACCTGGAACCAGGCAGATGGTTCAGTGGGTAAAGATCACCAGAATCCACATAAAAGCTGGGTACAGAAGCTTATGGAAATGCATCTGTATTAATCTGATAATGTTTTCCTTGCCATCATTTCTATAATACAGTACTACAAAGAGCTTAGGATGACTTAAGGTGCATGGAGAGCTGTGTACAGGCTATGTGGTGCTGAGTATTGAACCCAGGGCCTCATGTATGTTGGGAAAATTCTCTACCACCAAGCTACATCCTCAGTCCTGACCATGACTCTTTAAACAACGAACTTAATCTAACAGTGGTGCACTCAGGTGTTCAGAACTGCCTGCACTGATACCAAGTGATGACGGTACTAACAGTTTGTCAAATGCCTTACCTATGGAAGGTACTTCCTTTGTACCCTATCGGAACACCATCTTTTCTGTAACCAAAAAGAAAGACTTGGAGTGATGACAATTAAGCATGGATCCTTTCCATTTAGGACACACTGGAGACTAAAAGAACTCTCATAAAGATTTGGATAGAAGTGAGCTAAAGAACACATCAATAAAGGAGGCACTCTCTGAATATCATCTTCCACCACTCAAGACTTACCCATGGTTCCCCAATACCCTCACCAAACCTCCAGGACCCCCTTCAGGGGTAGGAGAGGTCAAACACATCTGAGACTGACCTGAACTCTCCAGTGCAGAATTGCCTAAAAGGAAAGAAAGAATGAACAGTCACCATGCCATTGCTGTCTGGAGCATCTTCTAATATCAGGAGAGGAAGGTACAAATAGCGGGGCCAGCAAGTCCACTAACTGGTCGGCCGGATGTCAGGGCATGCAGGCGTGTAAACCAGTAACATAAATCGATACAGGGACGGTCAACCCCGGTAGCTATTTGGCCAGTGCAACAACACACAGAGCACCGAGCTCCAAGGCAGTGAACGGATGGACAGAGGCAGACATGGCAAAGAGTGCCCCGGAGGCAGGCTTCGGGCTCAGAGACTTCTGGTTCAGTTGAGCATCTCCTTACCTAAAGTTCTCTGCCGTCTTTGGCACCACGTCTGCAAACAGCTCGATCTTCATGCGACCAACTTCCTGCAAGTGACGGGAGACGCAAGGCTCAGTCCACGGCCGCAGCCCATGCAGCTCGGAAGCTCCCACCTCCGCCGTCCTAGCCCAGCCAGTCTCGGGAGGGCTACAAGGGGCCCCTCGGCTGCCTCCCTCACCCGTGTCCTGCCGGCCTCCCGCACCTCACCTGGCCGCCGATGCTGACATCAAAGAAGACCACAGGATTGACTGGACTTGAATTTGCCACCGCCATGGCTCTCACCCGGAAGTAGAAGTTCGGCTTCCGGTGACAGGCCTTGCGGAATTCAGCCACAGCACAGGCGCGGTGGAAACCGACCATGGTTGGGCCCCGCCCCTGGAAGTGCGGCGGGGACTGCGGGGAAGGCCGAAGCTAGTGTTGTCGCGGGCAGATCGGTTCTGAGGGAAGAAGGTGCAGGAGCAAACGAGCACAGGAATCTTCGCCAAAGGCGAGCTCCTACTTTCATGACTGTACCAGTGCAGTACAGATGAATGCCCCACAGACAGCATTTGCTGAGCCGTCACACTTGGTGTCCCCTGCCACAGTGCCCGGAGGGGGCACTCACGAGAGAACCCTCTGAGTCACCCTCCATATTTTAAAATGTTATGTTACATAGGCTGGCTCAGTCTGGGAATGTGATTTCATTTCTGTCGCAAGCTTCCATCTCATTTCCCAAAGAGTTGCAGTTTAAAAAACAACCTTTGTGCTTGTAAATCGTGTGGGGCTTTGCATATTTAAAATAAATCCAGCGGTGTATACGAAGCCCTATTCTATTTGCCACCGCTGGTAGTTTAAACCTGAAAGTAGAGGCTGCGCACTACCTAGCCTCAATCTACCATTCAATTACCCTTTTTGTCTCGGTTGTGGAGGACATTAGATTGCTACGTCCTTTAAGGCCTTGTCAAGTTATGTCTTTTCCGATTTTTTTTTTTTACTTTAAATGTTTTTGAGACAGTTTTGCTGTGTATCAAGGGCTGGCTTGGAACTTAACAATCTTCCTACCTCAGCCTCCCAAATGCTGGGATTACATACATGGTTTGCCATATCCTTTTGGAACTGGCGTTGAACTGATGTTTCAGGAGGACCAGAGCATCCCAGCACCCATGCGACAAACTGGGTATCCTGCACATACCTGTAATCTCAGCTTCATGGAGGGTGAAGACAGGATATTCGCTGGTTAGCTGAGAAAATATGAACCCCAGGTTTAGGGGAGAGCCTCTGCCTCAAAGTAATAGATGGTAAATAACAGAGGAAGACACTTGATGACCTCTTCTGGCCTCAGCTCTTGCACAGGTGTGCACACACAGGCACATACGCACACACAGAAATAAATATTAATCTTGAAAAAACTACAGAGATTGAAGAAGGGTATTCAGTGTGGAGTCCTCACCTGGTCATGGATGTCCACGCACACAAAACTGTATTACAATGAATGTATAATAGGATAATGGCTACTTTAAAAAAATACTTATTTCAGGGAGCTATTTATTGGCAATTGATAGCAGCTGGGAGGAAGGGAATCAGCTTTCTTACTAGTATAGCAACTGCTAAATCATCCATGCTTCACTGGAAGGCCATGTAGCCAAGAACATATGAGCAGCATAAATTGGCCTTGATGAATTTTAAAAGGAGAAACACCAAGTTGAGTACTTAGGGTATGGGGGTGGCTCTGGGAGGAGTTGGGAGAGGGGTTGATTATACTCCCAACACACTGAAGTTCTCAAAGGTCTAATAAAAATTTAAAATAAAAATATGTTCATTAGAAGGGTGTGGTAGAGCAGGCTTGCAACACCAGTATTTGGGAGGTGGACACAGGAAGATCAGGAGTGCAGGGTCATCTTCTGGCCCATCAAATTTGAGGCTTGGCTGGGACCCCTGAGATGTTGTCTCGAAAGTTCCCAAACAAAAAACATTTGAATAAGGACAAAAGGGTTTGATTCCCAGCACCCACATGACAGCTCACAGCTGTCTGCAACTCCAGTCTCAGAGGAGCCAATGCCCTTTTCTGGCACTTCATGCACAGGGTATATAGACACATACAGACACATCAATGCACACAAAAAGAAAATAGTCATTATTAATGGGTATATCAAACAAACAATGAGTCCATTTTTAGAAAACTTTTAATGACTGTTTAGTCAACAGTTTTGAAGACTCCTTGTTGCTTGTCCAGGGTGTTGTTCGAGACTCCTCCAGATCAGTTTACACCTGTACATCCACCCTCAGAGTTAGTAGGTTCAATTAGTATTGTTTTAGACACCAGTGACATCATAGTCCTGGCTTTTGGTCCCCCTGTGTGTTATATGTCTCTTTTAGAGAAGTCACGTTTATATATCCATTTTCTGAATTCTGTGAACATGAAAAAGGTTCAGGGGACTTGGGGATTACTGTTGTTCCTTCTGACTTATGTAGCACCGTCTCCTGGAGATTTTCAATTGACAATACCAAACCTGCTCCTGAGAAACTGAGAAAGGTCACATGTGAAGACATAAACATACATAGAACTTCCTGGCAGAAGTTTAGGGCTACCGATCTATGGCATTGATAGAATGTCAACAACATTTTACAGCTGTCAGGATCAAAAACAAAAAACAAAAAACAAAAACAAAAAAAACAAAACAAAAAAAACAAAAAAACAAAAACAAAAACAAAAACAAAAAAAAGGCTATCAGAAGCCCACGCTCATGGATTATCCTCTAACTGAAATCTGAATACTGTAGGACTGGAAAGGGGGTGGTAGTGAGGAAAACAGGGACTGGGAATAGATTAAAAAGCTAAATGCAGGAAAGAAAAAACAAAACAAAACAAACAAACAAAAAATACAAAACCCAAAGGTGTGTTTTCTTAAGTCAGCCACTCAGAGCCAGTAAGGAGCCATCTCAGTTGTGCAGATAAGACTGTCTTGATGTACATGACTCACCTGGAACTCTGTAAAGGTAGTATCTTTCTGAGTATTTCAAAGGCAGCACTGTCACTGATTACTGCTTCCTAAAAGAAAAAATATTATAGCTTTAAAAATATGTTTTTTTGTGTGTAAATGTATGCATGTATGTATGTTAGATCCCCTGGCACTACAGGTACAGGTGGCTGTGAGCCACATGATGTGGGTGCTGGGAAGTAAACTCAGGTAATCTGCAAGAACAACCATTACTCGTAACCGCTAAGCAACTGCTCCAGCCCTGTTCAGTCTTTATAATAATAAGCCACTGGCAATATGATCCTAGAACTTATGGTATATAGACAATGATACATAAAACTGATTTACTGCCTGCAAACAACACAACATACTGCAAGCAATCTAAATATAAATAGGCATAGAATGAAGTTACTTGCCCTACCCCTACCAAGGCTTTCCACAGCTCTCACTTTCCCCCTTTCCCCCTCTCCTTTCCCCTTCTCTCCTCTCCCTTCCCTTTCTTCTCTCCCTGCTCCCCATCTCATCTCTCTCAGAGACCCCCTCTCTCTATTTGTATATATACATTTTACACACACACACACACACACACACAGAGCTAGGGATCAAACTGAGAGCTATGTGAATACTAGGCAAGCATTCTAACAACTGAACTATATCTTCAGCCCAAACCTTTTTTTTTTTTTTTTTTTTTTTGAGACAAACATTCTACCACTAATCTCTTTCCTGGTTTCTTTCTTTTCCCATTACATTTGTTTGTTTGTCTCTGTGTGTAGAGGTCAGAAAACATCTTGTGGGAGTTGGATCTTTCCTTCCACCATGTGCCTTCTAGGGATGGAACTCAGTTGTCAGGTTTGGCAGCAAGCATCTTTACCTGCTGAGCCATCTCGTTGGCTGCTTCTTCCTTCCTTCCTTCCTTCCTTCCTTCCTTCCTTCCTTCCTTCCTTCCTTCCTTTCTTTTTGTTTTTAGAGACAGTGTTTCTCTGTGTAGCCTTGCTGTCCTGGAACTCACTCTGTAGACCAGGCTGGCCTCGAACTCACAGCGATCCACCTGCCTCTGCCTCCCAAGTGCTGGGATTAAAGATGTGTGCCACCACCACCTGGCACTGGCTTATTTCTTGATTTCTTTTTCCTATAAGTCATTGTTGGTGTACTGACATACTTGGTTTTTTCTGTGATCCTGCAACTTGACTGCATTCTTTCCTTGTTCTAATAGAGTTTTAGAGGGGAGTATGGAGCAGTTTTGATTTTCTGCATGTGAGATCATATCACCAGGCAACACACACACTTTCACTTCTTCCTTTCCTGTTTGGAAGCCTCTTTGTCAAGTTGCCCCATCAAGGACTTCCAGCACTGCGCTGAACCCCTGAGTCCCATGTTAGTTGTGTCTGTCATACATGGCTTTTATCATCTTTTTTTTTGTGAGCTTTATGGCTTTACAAATAAAATGTTCCTTCCCAGAAAAAAAGATAAAAGCTGGCCGTGGTGGCTCATGCCTGTAATCTCAGCATTCAAGAGATTGAGGCAGAAGGATCAATGTGAGTTTGAGGTTAACCTGGGCTATAGAGTGTGTTCCAGTCCACCAGGGCTATAGAGTAGGGAACTCTGTCACAGCCCTCCACCAAACAACAGAGGCAATAATGACACTAATAATAATGACAAAAACAGAGATGAACACAGATCAGATTTTACGGGGTTTTACTGGATTTCCTGAACTGGGAAAGTTTAACCTTTGATATAGACCAAGTAATTCATGCAAGAAATTCCCAGCAATCCTTAGGGGAATGATAAGCTTATATATTGTTTTAGCAAGAACTAAAACATTGCATCTTAGAGGGATGGTCCTTAAGATTCAGGGTGTTCTAAAGGGAGGAGAAATGTGACATCCTTCAGGCAAGTGCTTTAAATTTAGGGCTTGAACAACTCAAAAGCTTCAGGAAATCCCTGAAATAAACCAGATTCATTAAGGCCCTTAATCTCCAAGCTGATACACTATAAGCACTGCTTAGAGACACAATCAGACTAGCTGAGCTGCCTGGAAGGGACTCTCCAACCTGTTAAGCTGCTTGCAGGTTTTGCAGTGTGCTCTAGGTTTCCAGCTTTGGTGGGCTGTCACCCATGCTGGGGTGGGCTTTGATGATGCAGCTGTTTTTGAGTTATTTCTGCTCCTGTAAGGGACCTCTGATCCATACACTCCTGTAAATAACTCTTACAAACTCATTAGTTCACCAATACGGACTTTGGTATATCCATACTTTGGTCTGTTGTTGATTCCCTATGGTGTTGTTTTGTTTGTTTGTTTGTTTTTTCAAGACAGGGTTTCTCTGTGTGGCTTTGAAGCCTGTCCTGGAATGCACTCTGTAGACCAGGCTGGCCTCGGACTCACAGAGATCCGCTTGCCTCTGCCTCCTGAGTGCTGGGACTAAAGGTGTGCACCACTAATGCCCGGCCCCTGTAGGATTGTAACAGGGCCCCAGACCTTAGAACAACGGACTCAGTGATGGAAATAACATTCAGGTCATAAAACTTAGCACACAGACAGCACCACAAGCCAAAACAAAAACAAAGACCTAATCCATCAAAGTCCATAGTTGTAGGAAAGTCTAACTAAATGCACTCACCTTGCTTTTTAACATCTATAGTTCCACTTCTGGCTAACTGTTCTTGTTAACTGAAGTCTGTTAACTGGTACATGGTTTTTGTGCTTAAATGCTCACCCTGAGAAAGGCTCACTGCTGCAGTGGAATCCTGAACACAGAGTGTATCACTGGCTGACCAATAATTTTGTTTGTTTGCTTTGGTTTTCAAGACAGTATTTCTCTGTGTAGCTATGGTGGTCCTGGGACTCATTCTGTAGACCAGGCTGGTCTCAAACTCAGAGATTCACTGGCCTCTGCCTCCCAAGTCCTGGAATTAAAGGTGTGTACCACTACTGCATGGGTAATAAAGGCTTTCTATTGGCTTAAAGCCATGTCTGAGCAGTCTTCTCTGGTGAATACGCATAATAGGGTGAGCAGACATTTGTATATGTCTCCTCAGGAATAGTGTCTCACAACTTTATGTGAAAGGAACACAAAACCAAAATCATTTAGAGAAAGTGCTAATGAAATAGAAATTTTGTTGAGCTGGGGAGATCTAGGCTTGATCCTGTCTCTGAGTTATACTGTGACAGGCCCCTTTACCTGAATTTGGGTTCCCATTAGCATACACCCAGCACACTTAGCTTAGCAACAGGCACATGGCACTTAACACGTGATGAGCTCTCAACCTCTTAGCCACAGAGGCACTGAATCTAAGGAAGGGATATAAGTTGTGTGTGTGATTTCCAAGCCCTACACTTGGACGGTTGGCAGTGTGTGAAGCTCATCACAGAGCATCAGGTTGGAAGCTGTGAGTATAGCTGCAAGAGAGGCCTGAGATGTCACACATCCTCTCTGTGTTTTATTTCTCTTCAGGATAAAACCCAGGAATTGAATTGGGGTTTTCTTAAGATCATATATTTAGGAGCAACTTTAGAGTTGTTTGTTTCAGTAGTATCAAGATATTCAAGTGGGTGCTTCTCTTACATTCAGGCTATTGAGCATGGTATAGTACAGTTCTGACCATATGACATTTATTATCTTTATTTGAAGATAAGACTGTGGCTCTCAAAGGTGTCAGTTCCTGCATATACTTCATTAAGTATATTTTTATTTAGTTATTTTGAGACAGGGTCCCACTATGTAGCCCTGGCCAGCAAGCCCTGGGGAGCTTCATAGCTCTGCTTCCCAGCACGAGGATCACAGGCACAGTGTAGGCATGATGCCACATCTAGCTTTCACATGCTGGGATGCTTGGGATCCAACTTAGGTCCTCATATTCACACAGCAAGCACTTTACCAACTGAGTTAGCACCCAGCCCTAGTGGTTTTGTTTTTATTGCTTTCTGTCTGCCTGCCTGCCTGCCGTTCTTCCTTCCTTCCTTCCTTCCTTCCTTCCTTCCTTTGTTTTGTTTTGATAGGGTTTCACTGTATAGTCCTTGCTGCCCTAGAATTTCCCAGGCAGTGTAGACTAGCCCAGCTTTAAGCTCACACAGATCTGCCTGCCTCTGCCTCCCGAGTGCTGGGATTAAAGGCATGTGCCACCATGTCTGGCTTCTTGTTTGTTTTGTTTTAAGATAGGGCTTTGTACATACTAGGCAGTCACTCTACCAACTGAGCTACATATTCAGTCCACCCCTGTTTTTATACTTTTTAATGTGAGTGTGTGTGTGTGTATACACTCCACACATTGTCAGCCCACTTGTTTTAAAAATTATATTAATTAATTAATTTGTGTGTATGTGGGCCAGAGGACTTGGTTCTTTTTTCTGACATGTGAGTACCAGGGGATGTTCAGGTCTTCAGGCTAAGGCCACCCTATCAGTCCAGCCCTGTTGGTTTTTGTTGTTGTTGATAGTGTGTATGTTGTTCCTGGCTTTTTTTTTTTTGAGGGGGGAGGTTGTTGTTGGTGTTGAGACAGTGTCTTATGTGTTTTCAGTGTTGTACTCCAGGCCAGCCTTGAAATCTTTAAGTTGCAGAAGCTAGTCTTCAACTCCTAACCCTCCTGCGTCAGGGTTCTCTGTGCTGGGATTACAGGTGTGAACCACTATGCCCAGGCTCCATGTAGTCGTCTAACTTCAACTTGTAATCCTATCACATTTATTCATGTGTGTGTGTATGTGTGTGCCTTTCTGTACTGGAGGGAAGACATATGAAAACATATGTATTCCAGGAACCAGCTCAGTTGCTGGAATTAATGGTTGATGAATGAATGAATGAATATGTAGAAAGTTGGAAAAAAAACATACTCAGAGAAACTATTGGCAATCAGGTCACATAAGTTCTGCTTTGGATGACAACTAGAAAACAAACACCTAGTAGTCACCTTTGTGAGAATAAACGAGATGCAGACTATATAGCAGTAGAGCTCAGTGACCATATCTGTGGAGAAGCATCTTCCGAAGGGATGCCTTACAGGTGCTGTACACCAGGGAAGGGAGGAAGCAGCCTTTACCCTGGATCCAGCATCTGATTGTGCTTGCTGAAGTCCCTTAGTCTTCCCTGGCCAGGCTCTGGACCTCAACTGAGCCCAAACTATTCTCTGCAATCCTCTTTAGCTATCTGTCTGCTTGAATTTGGAACATGTTTTCCTCTGACTCCGTTGCTCTCCTTAGTCTTGACTTGTTAACAGACTAAACACTTGACCTTTCCAAGCCTCAGAATTGTTATTCTTTCTTTCCAGACAGGGCTAGGATAATACACTGCAAACAGGGCTGTTCAGAAGGAGGCATATCTGTGACAACATTTAGCATCCATTCCTTCTCAAGGTATTATTCTAGAGCATCTGTTTGCAGATATGGTCAAGTATGCACTCTATCTGTCCACAGATACCGTCATGTATGAGCTATGCCTGTCCTCAAACATGGTCATGTATGAGATACAGTTCTTGCCCTCTAGGATCTTGCTACTGAGTTATTGATCCAGAGAAGAGAAAAGGTAATGGCAATTTAGCATGTTAAGAAAGATGCTGAGAGGCATACACAGATGGCTTTGGGATCACACAAGATAAAAATGTTATCAAGGTTGACCCACTGATGAGCAGGGTTCATCAAGAATAGTCACAGGTTTGCTTCTCTGTGTGCCCCGGGGAGCCTCTCTGCCACAGCCCACTGTGCAGCCAGGAGCAGGCTATGGCTTGAAGATCATGAAGCCAAGAGAGGGCAAAGTGAGCCAGTGAGCCAAACCTTAGAGTTAGGACTAAGTACAAAGTGCACATCTTACTTCCGCTCTGCGAATCTGGATGCTTCTTATAATGCGTTCTAAGAGACTGATGTGCTGCTTGAGCCGGAGGCAGTTTTCCTGCAACTGCTGGTTTTCTTTATCCAGTATAAACGCCCTAAACATGGCATAAATCAGAAGCATAGTTAGAAATGCCTTCCTCCCTCTGTTCATCCCTCCCTCTTTCCATCCCTCCCTTCTTGTCTGTTCAGGGATCAAACACAGGGCCTCACGCATGCTAAGCATATGCTTTATCACTCTTATGCAATCCCCTCCCTGCCATGACACCCTCTTTAATGCCACAGTGGCTGCCATTTGCATCAACTATTGGAAGCAGAAGACAGAAGAACAGACTCATAGGACTGGCCAAGACCCTCCTACCCCCACCCCCAATCTCCAGAATCATTTGTGTGCCACTGCACCTACTTGCTCTGGATTGCAGAGATTGTGGACTTATTCCTGCAGATCAGTTCTTCTTGATCTGTGACTTGTTCTAGAAGCTTCCTTTTTTCCTGGAGGAGGATGTCATTTTGAGTCATGATCTGGCCCTGGAATGCCTTCTCCTAGGACAGGGAGAACAACATATACACGAATGAGCTTCAGTCTGTTCCCAGGTCTGAACAGGAACTCTGGTTTTCTCTTTTTCTCATTCCAGCATCTGTTGGCACCTATTTGCTGGCATCATCCTTAGTTATAGCAGATTCCCTCCTGCTGATGCTGTTTGCAATCAGAAAAGCCACGCCAGGCTGGATAGTCATAGTGCACACCTTTAATCGCAGTACTCGGGAGGCAGAGACAGGTGGATTTCTCTGAGTTTGAGGTCAGTCTAGTCTACAGAGTGAGTTCCAGGATTGTCAAGGCTACACAGAGAAACCCTGCCTTAAAAAACAAAACAAAAACAAAAAAGGAAAAGAAATACTGTGGGAAGAAACAGTGTCTTTCCTGCATTTTAATTCCTACAGATATTAAACCATCAGCAAGCACAACTGCATCCTACGTTTTGATAAAATCTTGCCCCTGGATACATTTCCATCTGCTTTGTAGATATTTTGCCACTGTTGCTTTGGACAGAGAATTGTTATATATCCTAGGGTGACATTCTTGCTCAGTAAGAGAGTGCTGGGATTGCAGGCATGTGTCACCATGTTCAACCTGCTGTGTTCTCTTTTAATTTGTTGATTTATTTTAAACACTTATTTGTGTATGGGTATGCACCACAACATGTATGTGGAGGTCTAAGTATAAGCAGCAGGAATCAGTTCTCTCCTTCCACCATGTGGGTCCTGGGGATTGGACTCAGGCTGTTAGGCTTGGCAGCAAGTGCCTTGACCCACTGAGCCATCTGGCTGGCCCATGGTTACATTCACTTTTAGGCAGATGGAGAAAGATAAGAACTTAGCCTCCTCACCATTCCTTACACAAATCAAATTACTACATACCTAGTGGCTTTACACAACAGGAATTTATTTTATCACACAGTTCTAGAAGGCTAGACGTCTGGAATAAAGATGTTGCCAGGTTAGTTTTGGCAACCCAGAAGGACTCTCTGTCAGTACTGGAGGTTGAACCCACGAACTTGTGCCCTTAGGGAAGCGCTCTATGCTAGGCTGCACCCTGAACCCTCACAGGAAGATTGTTTCAAGCCCCCTCCTGTTGCATAGTTGCCAGGCATCCTCCGTGTTCTCTGGCTTTATAGACATATCCTTTCCCTCTCTGCCTCTGTCCTCATGGTGTGCTCCTTCCCACGGGACGTGTCCTTGTCTCTGCTTCTGCCACTCCTCTTACAAAGACACAGGCTATTGGATTTACTCTCATCTAGGGTGACTTCAATTGACTACACCTGCAAAAGCAGGATTTCCAAATTGGTAGGTTCCGTCTGGTACTCTATGAATTTGGGGTACACTGTCTAACCAAGTTCATGTACATGTACACACAAAAGACTCTTTTAAAAAGATTTATTTCAAGCTGGGCAGTGGTGGTGCACGCCTTTAGTACCAACACTAAGCTGGGCAGAGGCAGGTGAATTTCTGTGAGTTCAAGACCAGCCTAGTCTACAAGAGCTAGTTTCAGGACAGCCTCCAAAGCCACAGAGAAACTCTGTTTTTGGAAAACAAAAACAAAAAAATATTTATTTTTATTTTATGTATATGTGTGCTTTGCCTGCATATACATGTGTGTGAACCACATTCATGACTAGTGTCTGATGAAGTCAGGATAGAGCAATCGATCTCCTAGAACTGGTGTTAAGGTTGGTTACGAGCCACCATGGGTGTTCTGAAACCAAACCTGAGTCCTTTGTAAAAGCATCAAGTACTCTTAACTCCTGAGCCATCAGTCTAGCCTTAAGACTGATCTTTCCATTTGAAGGTGAGGCAATTACAAATCACTAGTGATGAGGAATGCCTTCAATATGCTATCTGGGTTAGCAACCCTAAAAGTCTCAAGGGTCCTTACAGGATTCCTCACATTCAGGCTGGTGAGGCTAGCTTGGCTGGTAAAGTACCCTGTGAGCTTGAGGCCCTGAGTTTGAGCCCCAGAAACCACCCAGAAATGCTGGGCATGGCTGAGAGTTTACAATCCCAGCACTGGGTGGTAAAGAAACGGGGATGTCTGGGCCGCTGCTGGCCAACCAGTTTAGTCTCATAGGTGAGGACCAGGCCAATGAGAGAAAGGAGGCACACCAGGCATACTCTGGGAGATGACCCTTCAAGTTGTTCCCTGACATCTGCACGCATCTGCATACAAGCAAACATGCACACATACATGCACAGTCACATTGACTCGGACACGCGTAGGCACACATGTATACAAACACATGCATTAAAAATAAAAAGGATCCCCCACACTGAAAGATGGAAGGTGGTAGCAAAGATGAAAGCTGGGGCCGTGGGTAATGAGAAGATGAGCAGGCGTTCTTCAACCGCTAACTGATAGCGGAGTCAGTGCACTCTGGGGTTTTTTGTTTTGTTTTCTCACCATTTCAATTTTTTGTTGCAGTTTCCCGGTTTCATCTTCAAGTTCTTCAATCCTCTTATTTCGTACTTCTAACTCATGAGTCAGATGGTCCTTGACCTTTTGAAGCTTGGCTTTGTGGCAGTGGTGTTTGTCTTTGTAGTTTCTATAAAAGCAAAATTCAGGATAAGCATGCCAGAATATAAGTAGGCCCTCCTTGGGATATGACCTATGGACTTTTAATGTGGACGCTTTCTTGTGTTATGTATTCACCCCATGTGGGGATGAATCTAAAATACCCTCTCCACCACTTCAGCCAGTTCAGCCAGTTCTAAGAACTCAAGCCTCTGGACCACCTGGGTTTGAGCTGATGATAGCTTTTGTGTACGAGATTAATTCGGGAACCTGCTAGACTTTGGATCCCTGGCATAGGAATTCTGAATCCTACTCCAATGATGAGAATTATTACTTACACTTTTCTGGTTCCTGGCTATATTCTTTTATTTGCTTTGTTTTGAGACAGGGTATCACTATATATCCCTGGCTGGCCTGGAACTCTTGATATAAACCAGGCTGGCCTTGAACTCACAGCGATCCACCTGACTCTGCCTTCTTCTCAAGTGCTGAACCTAAAGGCATGTGCCACCACACCCAACCTATACTCTTTATATTTTTAAAAATTATTTTTAGTATTTTTTTCCACAACATGTGTGTGGAGGTCAGGGCACAACTTGTAGGAATTGGTTCTCTTCTTCCACCATGTGGGTTCCAGGGACTGAACTCAGGTCATGAGGCTTTGTGGCAAGTGCCTTCAACAGCTGAGCCTTCTGGCTGGCCTCTAGTTTGTTTGTCTGTCTGTCCGTCTGTCTGTCTGTCTCCCTCCCTCTTTCCTTCTTCCCCCCTCTCCACTTTGAGTGCTGAGATTATAAGTATGTGCCACCATACCCAGTAAAATCATGACAGTTTCCTTGTTTAAAACACTGTGTCTCATGTAGCCTAGGATAGCCTTGAACTTGGCTATATTACCTGAAGCTGACCTTGAATTCCTGATCTTCCTGCCTCTACCAATCAGTAGCTAGTGTTACAGGTCTGGGACATGATACCCAGTGATGTTTTGACATCATTTGACACACAACACAAATTCTTCTACTTATCCTAGCTATTAAAACCCAGTCTTGGGCTGAAGCATTGGCTGAGCAGTTAAGGGCACTTGTTGCTCTTACGAAGGGCCCCGGTTCAATTCCAAGCACCCATGTGATGGTTCACAACCATCTATAACTCTCAGGGGATCCAGATGTCCTCTTCAGACCTCTGAGGATACCAGGCATGCATGTGGCACACTTAAATATATGCAAGCAAAGCATTCATGTACATAAAATAATAAAATAAATAAAAACTAATTAAAATCTCTAATCTTTAGCTTCTTTACCAGAGTGGCTGTTTTCTCAATGTAGGTTAACTAAAAAATATTTTATTTTGAAAGGAAAGGGATGAATTATAGAGAAATTAGAAAAATAACTGATTTCCAATATATACAGTATTGTCATATTGTTTTCCTTCTAGTTTGTAAAATTATGTGTATGTGTATATGTTATCTGTGTGTGGGCTTGTGCACCCATGATGCCCTGGCTATTATGTATATGTGTGTATATGTTTATATATGTGTGGGTTTGTGTACACATGATGCCCTATAACCAGGAAGAACCCAGAAGCTTCTGCCACTGCTGCTGTCTGACTTAGACTCTGCTGGCCTCAGGTTCTAGGTCAGCTTGCCTGAAGAATTGCAGATCTTTGGTCCTTCTGACTTTGTTAACTACCAGCTTCAGGAGGCAGCACACATCTAGGGGGAACTTTTAGCTCATGTCTAAGTAAAACCAGCTTGCCTGTTACTAGGGCTTCAAGAAGGATTTGTTCCCATGAAACAGCAGTTGGGAAAGCATGTGAACACAATTTATCTGTAAAGATCAGGACTGGGGTGAGGGAGGCAGAAACCCAATGAGCCTGGTGCTTTGGCATTTCCTTCCATTGTGCTTCACAGATCTGTGCTCATCAACCCTGGATACTGTTAAAACCACATGGCGATGGTTTGGGAAAACACTGATTTTTTTTTTTAAACCATAGGTTTTGATTAAATTCGTGTATGTAAGTATCTAAGCACATACAGCCAGGATTGAATCCATTTTCTAAATGACATGCATAAATAACATGGAAAATTATTCAGACTCACAGCCATAACACACACACACACACACACACACTCAAAATACAATGGAAAGCCCTGGCTGTAAGTGCATATATAAATAATGGAAGATGTTGTGTGGCAGAGGTCATACACGAAGAGAATGCCATGCAAAGTGAGTCTGTTTAGAAATCTGTAAGAGGCAGACATCACAACTGTGGTTGCCTGAGGAAGACAGAGGAGAGAGAGTGACAGATTGCACACAGCCAGGAGACACTTAAGCAGTGGGGGACATGTTCTGCATTTTGATTGAGGTGGGAGTTACATATATATATATACACATACACACACACACATATATATATAATATACAACACATTTATGAAAATGCATTGAATTGTATATTAGTTTTTTTTTTTTTTACATGTATTCTATACACATCAAAAGCAAGAATGTTGGAGGACATTTTCATCAAGGTTTTTTCCCCTTTGACCATGGCATTCCCACAAAGGAGGATGTAGAGAAACAACAATTCCTCCATCATGATGGCAGTATAATCAGGATGCTTTTGAATGCTTGCCAGAGCATTAATGATGCATAGTACTATTCAATCATTGGACCACCGAGTCTTTCCAAACAGAATCAGGGCTGTGGTGGGATGACTGACTGATCCCAGCAGGTCTAGAGCCAGAAAAGCTTTCCTGCTTTTATTCTTGCTCGCTACACCATTGGGCGCCAACTGCTGGTCAAGGCACGAAATACACTGAGTAAAATAGTGTGGCTTCATAACCAACAGAACAGAGTTCTGTAGCAGGTTGTTACCAGCATGTTGGCATTATTTGTTGCTAGCAGTGAGAATGAGACTTGTGCTTGGCCTCAGGGAGGTCCACGGAAGCCTCTGCTATGGAGGCAGGTGACATGGCGTGATCGATAACCTTTGAGCTCCCTGGCTGTTAGGTGTCCAGTGCACATACTGTCCAGCCCAAGGAGAGGAAGTAAGAAAGGGGCTGGAGAAGTAGCTCAATGTTTGGGCATGCTTGTTGCTCTTCCAGAGGAGACCAGTTCAGCTCCCAGCACCCACACAGCCCCTCACAAACACCAGTAACTTCTCTTCCAGGGTTCTGACACCTTTGTCAAGCCTTCAAGGGCTCCTTCATGCACATGGTGCACAAGAACGCATGTAGGCTCACACACACACACACACACACACACACACACACACACACACACACACACACACACGTAAGTTTAAAAGAAGTAAATATTAAAGAATGTAGGGGAAACCCTTGAAGACAGTGAGAGGGTATATTTGGAGAAAACGAGATACAGACAGAGAACTCAGTAAACAGTTAAGTCCCTGTTCTTGGGAAGGAATTGGGCCCCACATCTTCCTTGGAACTGTGTGTAGATGGGACTGGGAAGTCATGTTAATCTGGGAAATCATGTTGATGGCCCCATCAGTGCGATTGCTCTGTGGTTTTTTGTTTTTGTTTTGCAGAACAGCCCTCTGTATACTGTTTGTTCACAGGGAACCTGCTTTGTTTACCTCACATGCTCACCAAGTTGCTCCAAAAACCTCCCGTGTTCTTTCCATAGAGCTTCCTTTTCTTGCTGTAACCTCGCCAGGTTCTCCGACAGTTCCTGGTTGCTCTTGACATACTGAAAAACATGGAGGGGAGGGTGGCAGTGCAAAGGGACTAGTCTGTGCCGGTGCAGTGAAGTCCTCACACAAACTCCAGAGGGCAGAATTTGATGATCCTAGTAACAGCTGAACACAGGGGCTTGCTGGAAGATGGCCATGTGCTGGGAGGTGCCTCACTCCTACTGCAGGAAGCCAGGAGCTCCTGGCTCCAGACCCTTCCTGACCTCACACTATCTCCTCGTCTGGTCTGGTTGCTTATTTCTGTCCTTTAAAATGCCCTTCACAACAAACAAGGAAACAGAAGTGTAGTGAACCCTGTGTTGTGTGAGTGCCCTAGCAAAGCGACTGTCTCTAGTCCATTTCCAGTTGGTCAGAAACTCTGCAGGCCAGGCAGGCTAGGATGTGGCTCAGTGGGCAGAGTGCTTGCCTGGCGTGTACTAAGTCTCAAGTTGAATGTCCAGCCGTGCATAAAACTACATGTGGGGGCATTTACTTCTAATCCTAGCAATTGGTCAAAGGCGTTTTCAGCTACCACCTGGTGCTACATGAGACCCTGTCTCAAAAAGGGGGAGGGGACAGACAATTCCAGAGGTGCAGCCTTGCCACTGGGTCTTAAGTCTTGAGGACTGAACCCTAATCCATGAGGTCTGATGAAATAGTCCTCAGGGCGATTGTGTCAGAACTGAATTGAATTAGAAGATATCCAACTAGCTGGGCAGTGATGGCACAGGCCTTTAATCCCAGCACTTGGCAAGCAGAGGCAGGAAGATCTCTGTGAGTTCAAGGCCAGCCTGGTCTACAGATGGAACTCCAGAACAGCCAGGGCTACACAGAGAGACCCTGTCTGGAAAACCAAAACCAACCAACCAACCAACAAAAAGATACCCAGCTTCTGATCACTTACTGGCTTGCTGGTGGGCAGAATGCCATGCATATTTGAGGCCACATGAGACTCTTAAGTTCATTGGTGTGATATGAGAGGAGAAAAGGAGACCGTTTGCTTTTTTATAACATGAGTGCATAAATTAAAGAAAGTCTCTTGACCTTGACTCTGCCTTCAACTACAAGCTCCTTATAGCCAGGCCTTGAAAAAGAAAAATCACTGCAGCTCAGGGAACTTGAAGCTACTTCCCACGCAGATGAGTGCAAACCCTCAGCACTCTTCTTCCGCCCTTCCTCTTTCCTTCCTTCCTTCCTTCCTTCCTTCCTTCCTTCCTTCCTCCCTTCATTCCTTCCTCCCTTCCTTCCTCCCTCCCTCTCTCCCTTCCTTCCTCCCTCCCTCTCTCCCTTCCTTCCTCCCTCCCTCTCTCCCTTCCTTCCTCCCTCCCTCTCTCCCTTCCTTCCTCCCTCCCTCTCTCCCTTCCTTCCTCCCTCCCTCTCTCCCTTCCTTCCTCCCTCCCTCTCTCCCTTCCTCCCTTCCTTCCTTTTTTGATGGTATTCATCATATGGGGACAGGTTTGTGTGTCTGTCTGTCTGTCTGTCTGTATGTCTGTCTGATGACAATCAGGAGTTATTTCTGAGTCATCACCTTCCTTGTTTTTTTCATTCAGGGTGTGTCATTGTCCTGGGGCTCACTGTTTATGCTAACCTGGCTGGCCTACCTCTGCCTCCCAAGTGCCAGGATTAAATGCACATGATACCACGTGTAGATCTCAAGTTGACTCCCACATAATGCTTGCACTTCAGAGGCAGTGCAAGGACACTGCAATAGCAGACAATTGCAATTCCTCTCTCCATCTTTTGTATCACCGCTAACATCCATTTTCCTTGCATATAAGCATACTGCATGTATATAAAATAACTTGTAGTGTAATTACATTATTTCTATATTTTTTAAAGATTTATTTACTTTTATATGCAGTGGTGTTTTCTCTACATGTATGTTTGTGTGAGGGAGTCAGATTCCCTGGAACTAGAATTACATACATACGGTGGTAAGCTGCCGTGTAGGTGCTGGGAACTAAACCTGGGTCCTCTGCGAGAGCAGTCCATGCTGTTAACCATCTCTTCATATTCATTAAGTAATTATTTATTTGTTGTGTGTGTAAGTGCCTTGGGCTATGTGTGGGGGTCAGAGGACAACTTTTAGAAGTCTGTAGCTTGGTAGCAAGACTACCCACTGAGCCATCTGGTTGGCTTCTTTTCTTTAGGTAGACTCTTGTCTTCTTGTGGTTTTTGTCATTGCTTTGTTTGTTTTTCTCTTGCATTTCTATTTATTTATTATTTTTTTCAAACAAAAGGGATGGTCTACAAGTAAATGCAGATATGGATAGGGGTGGGGTGGACATGGCTTGAAGCTTATAGAGGAGTTGCTGTGTTGTAACAGAAACAGCAGGTTAGAAGACATTCATAGTGATGTCTTGTCTGCTTGAGGATTCTAGGGATGCAAAGTTGACTGGAATTTTATTTATTTTTTCTTTACAAAGGGTTTTCTGCTGAATCATTAGCAGGAGAGAGACACTAAAGTGGCTTCTGGAGAACTAGGTGGGCCAGGCAGCTTGAGAACTGGCATCAACTCAGACTGCTCACTCCCCCATTTTCTATCATCTCCTTTTTTAATCTGTCTTTTTTTTTTTGTTTGTTTTTTTGAGACAGGGTTTCTCTGTGTAGCTTTGGAGCCTGTCCTGAAAGTAGCTCTTGTAGACCAGGCTGGTCTCAAACTCACAGAGATCCTCCTGCCCCTGCCTCCCGAGTGCTGGGACTAAAGGCATGCATCACCAATGCCAGGCTTCATCTGTCATTTTCTTGAAGATGTTTTTTAGGTAAAACTCAAGTTCTTTGATGCTTTTGCTAATGTCACCAGTGCCCTATGAGAAGTAGCCTTCTTCAGAACAGATTCATACTCTCTGGAGAGTCTGCTGGGCTCAGGGCTGCTAACCTGTAATGAAGATGGTTCACGAACTGGGGAAGGTATCTGTCAAGAAACTTATCTGTGTGAACTGAATTCCCTGCAAGTGGACAGAGCCCCAGAGGAGTCTTCTGTCACACAAAGGACAGGAATTCATACTCTGCCTGCTGTAATGTAATTGCATTCTCCTTCACTGCCTTGGTAAGACCAAACATCCCATGATGCTCCTTGCATGATTCTGACATGCTGACCAGTAACTCCTTCCGCTGCTTGATAATCAGGCTGGGACCTTCAGCCAAAAACGTTAAGATTAGAGTCAGTTATCAGACAGGCCATCTCAAGAACCTGATCCTTCTCAATGTCTAATCCTGTCTTCTCTGGGTTCACCCACACCAACTGCTGAGCCACATTCTACCTTTGCCGACTCCTCGCACTCTGAACTGCCTGTGTCTACCACCCATGCTCCACAACAGCCTGGAGCCAGGGAGACACCTAACATCACCTGGCATGAGCTGCCACAACCCCAGCCCCCTAAAAAACATCTCTTAACATTGCTTTCAAAGCCGGTTTACTGACAACAAATGCCCCAATTTCTGTCTGTCTGAGAAAGTATTTTATTCCTCTGTCTTCTTGCAGGATTTTCCCTTTCTCTTTGAACTTTGGTTTGACAATTATGAACCTACATGTAGTTTTTCTGTCACTCATCTTGATTGGCATCCTCTGACCTTTCTGGATCTGTGGTTCAGTATCTGTCATTAACTTCCAGATATTCTCATTCATTATTTCAAGTGTTTCTTCGTTTCCTTTGATTTTCCAGTATCTCCAGCATGTGTTACACTTCCTGTGTTGATCCTGTGGTTTTTGGATAGTCTTTTCTTTCCCCTTAAAGTTCCCTTTACTCACTGTTTCCAGGTTTCTGTTTTGGTTTCTACTGCCTGTCTCCTCTGCAATGCCATGCTTCTGCTTTATGAGAGTCCACACGCAGCATATCAACTACAGGTGCTTCGCATTTCTGATCATTCCAACATTCCCATCACATCTGGGTCTTGATTGTGCCCTGTTCCTCAGTTTCATCAAGTTGTGTCTTAAGGTGTCTTGTGAATTTTTCTTTATAGGCAGACATGATGAAGGAAGTTGTTAGAGACAGATATCTGTATCTGCTGGTAAGGCAAGGGGATGGGTCACATTCTCTACTCCTATGATTAGATCAGAATCTTCCAGTTAGCTACACCTTAGAGCCACAGCCCTTACACATGCTTCTTCCTCTGCCTTCATTTCTCCCATTTAAATGGGGGCAGAGTCGGCTGAAATTGCATGTTTGTCTTGCCCTGGGTCAGTTCAGTTCTGACAGAACCACATCGTGTTAGGTTCTAGGTAAGCAGTTTCTCTTATTAAGAAACTCTGAATGTCCCCCTCCCCAATACTCTTCCTGCCAAGAGAGTAGGGAGACATTCCTCAAATATTCACAGTGAGAACCCGTGTGGGGGGGGTGAAACCCACAAAAATGTGGGGGTCTCAAAACTGTAGAGTCCCCTAGAACACTAATAGCTCAGAATTGTCTTTTCACACTGAGCCTCCAACAGTTTGTCAGTTTTGGTGCAGGCTTTCCCACCTAATTCTCGTCGGGGCTTCTCCATGCATTGTATAAGTCTCTCCAATTTCAGGGGGCAGTGGCCCTGTGGTGGTTTGAAAGAAAATAGCCTCCCAAGGATATGACACTATTAGGAAGTGTGGTCTTGTTGGAGGTGTGATATTGTTGGAGGAAATGTGTCACTGTGGAGGCAGGCTTTGAGATCTCATATATATTCAAGACTGCCCAGTTACCTTTCCAGCACCATGTCTGCTTGCATACTGCCTTGTTCTGCCATGATGACAATGGACTGAACCTCTGAACTGTAAGTCATCCACAATTAAATGCTTTCTTTATAATAGTTGCCATGGTTGTGGTGTCTCTTCACAGCAATAGAAACCCTAACTAAGACAGGCCCTGTGACCCTACTTCTCTGATGGATCAAGATGTATTGTTAAAACTTTTCAGCTTGCTCGGCTTTTTATTTGCGGTTAGGATGGAGTAGGATAACTTCCAACTTCCTTTCATACAGAACCCTGAGCTTGAGGCGTTGGTGGCTCAGGACTTTAATCCCAGAACTTGGGAGGCAGAGGCAGGTGGATCTCAATGAGGTTGAGGCCAGCCTGGTCTACAGAGCTAGTTTCAGGACAGGCTCCAAAACAATACAGAGAAACCCTGTCTGGAAAAACAAACAAACAAACAAAAGAATTAGAGCTTGTGGGTTGGTGAACCCACATTCCTGGCCATCTCCCTCTTTCTGGATGTTTCTGACTCGTGACCTTTTTTTAATAAGCAGAAAACCAAGCAAACCAATGTTTCCTGAGGTATTCTGCTTTTCTGTATGTGTATGTGTCCATCTCTGCTTGCATACCAGCACAGGCCAGAAGAGGGAGTCACAGCCCCCGAAGCAGGAGTGGAAGACCACAGCAGGTCCTTCTGACTTCCCATCCAGTAACTTTGCAAGCACTTTTCCTCATGTATTGAATACCATCTTGTTTGTGTTGGGGCTCAGGGCATACCACCCCAAAAAATGACCATAGAATGGGATATATCCCTGTGTGCTGGCTAGTGTCAACTCAACACAAGCTAGAGTCATTCGAAAAGAGGGAACCATAAGATCCAGAAGTAGGGGATTTTCTTTCTTTTTATTTTCTTCCTTCCTTCCTTCTTTCCCTTCTTCCTTTCATTTTTGGTTTTTCAAGACAGGGTTTTTCTGTATAGCTTTGGAGCCTGTTCTGGAACTCACTCTGTAAACCAGGCTGGACTCAGAGAGATCCTCCTGCCTCTGCCTCCCGAGTGCTGGGATTAAAGATGTGAGCCACCACTGCCTATTGAACTTTCATCTGTATCTGAGGCAACCCCTTCCTCACTCTACAATTCTTCCACATGCACCCTCCCATTGTTTGTGTCCATTATGCTCCATAGGTTCAAGGCTCTTTCTAGATAGCTTAGGATGTTGTACAAGCTTTGGACATATGACCTGTTTTAAGTCTCATGTTTTATGGGACACCCATGTAATTAAGTGGCCTTACTCCTACTAATTTGCCCTATGTAAATTAGTCTTTAAAAAAGATATCTTTTTCATCTTTACTTTATGTATATAGATCTTTTGCCTGCATATATGTCTCTATACCACATGTGTGTCTGGTGCCTGAGGAGTTCTGAAGAGGATGTAGGATCCCTTAGAACTAGAGTTACAGACAGTTGTGAGCTGCCATGTAGGTGCTTAGAATCAAACCCAGGTCCTCTACAGGGAAGTCATATTTCCCTCCCTTCCACTTGGATATATATATATATATATATATATATATATATATATATATATATGAATGAATGATTTGTTTTCCTAGATAAATTTAGTAGATAAAGTATACTCAATGATAGCTAGCTAAATAGCAATAGCAATGATGGACACATATTCCAGTCTACGGGAATTAGGAAAACAGGGAAACATGTCTGCTACTTTCTTACCTCTTCACACTTCATTCTCTCATTTTCCACTTGTTTGCGTAGAGCCTCTTGTTGCTGGGAGTTGGTTGCTTCCTGTTGGTCCTCCTTATCCTGCAGGGTTCTCACTTGCCTCTGGAGCTCATTTATTTCCTGGCCCAGGAGTACCCTGAGGGCAATCGGTGCACATCAGATCACTCTGAGTACCTCCACACCCTGCAGGTGATTCCTAGACCTGTGACTTTTGGGCCAGCAAGAGGGAGCTTGTGGGTCCAGTAGAGTGAGGTACAGCTATGAGTCTGCAAGATAAGCGGACCCATGCAGGGAACCTCCCACGTAACAGAAGCTTTTTCTTAATTCTCCCTCATGCCATCAAAACCAAGCCCACAAGGAAGAAATAATTTCCCTTACGGCAGAGATGAGAAATGTGGCACTAAGAGCAGCTAGGACAAGGCTGAGGTAGGTTCTACTCCTGAACCCATGTTCCTTCTTCCCCAGTCCTTTCCAGGTTGGCCCTGCAATCTTTTGGCTCCACACACTGCTGGTACCCTGCTGCAGCTGACTGTGGACTGAGCTGCATCGATGGGGAAATTCACCTGTCCTGATGAGTGCCATCAGTCCCTGCTCTTTCAGAGAGACTTGTCAAGCTGCAGGTCATGGAAAGACTTTCTGAGGATTTCAAACTGAGAGTCTCGCATCCAGGAGATTCACCTCAATGAATATGATGATGGAGATGATGAAATAGCACTGATGAGCAAGATTCTCACCTGAATTCCGGGCATCAAGTCCTAGCACTGGACAGCCTAAGCCTAAGCATTCTAGGCAACCGACAGGTTATTGGACGTTAGTCTGATTGAGACATTGGCTCTTGGTTCTGCACCTCTCGCTCTTATGTCCCTTGGATATAAGTGAGTCACTCATTCTAAGGATTGTTGGAGCTTCATTCTACCAGTCACAACTAACCCTGTGCCTTCTTCACTGTTATTTTCGCCTTGTCCAAATCACTACATGTATATGTAGGTAATCCCTGCTGTTATCGTCCCTTTTTTTCTTTACGGTTCTGTTAGGTAGCTAGTTAGATATTAGCAACTTTGGAAGACATTGGGGTTGGACCCTTCCTTCATAATCAGTAGCTTACTAATCCAAGGATGAGAACAGTAGGATATTAAATACTGGCCACGGAAATGGACATGGGCTCTGGCTCTATGAGGAGCCATGATGACCTGAATTACCTTGAACATCCTTAATACCAAGTATTGAAACTGGTCTCTTACAATACTGTATAGCAGAGACATTCTGGTAAAGAATAAGGACATACCATTGCCTTCTTTCTGGAAGGTCAATCTAGACAGGCCTGTCAGTCTGGATGAGACAAATGCTGCCTCAAATGCAGACTGACACAACCATCTTTTGCCCATGTCTCCCCTGTTCTATATATAATAAACTGCCTATCTTCAATGCCACACTTTGCAGGTTTTATCCGAATTCTTCTGCAGACATCTCCCGAGGGCTGGGGAGCTGAGGGAAAGGAGTGAGATCCAGTGACAGTTCCATTCCTAGTTTGGGCTCAAGGGCCTGGATAAGCGCTAAACCCTGGAGCTGAAGGGATATTGAGCTGCTAGATCTGAGAAGTCCTTGGGTTATCTACAGCGCAGTCTGGGGGTTGAAAAATACGAAGTCTGAATCAAAAGAGCAACTCAGGGATTTGCTAGGAGCTACCAAACAGAAGGGACACTTCCCAAAATACATCGCTTCAGCGATGAAAGACTAGCAGGCTTGAGACTGACAAGGTCTGACAAGATCCTCCATTTCCCTATAGCCTGTGTCTCTTCACCAATCCATCATTTACACAGAAGACAGTTTCCTTCCTAACTCACAACTCAATCCTGGTGTTGGTGGTTGAACCCAGGGTCTCATGACTGCTAGGTAACTGTTCCACTCACGATCTCTTTTCTTAACATCCTTCAGTGACTCCCCCTTGCTTTTACAGTAGAGTCCCAACTATTCAATGTGGCCTGTCCTTCACCTCTGATTTCTGGACTCATTTTCTCACCAGGGACTACTCTTGAAAACCCACACAACCTTTCGTGATCCTCCTCACTCATCCTAATCTTCGCCTCTCAGCTTCCCTATGCCGACTGCTTCACTCTCGCCTTAAGGCTGTTACTGAGGAAGGCTTTCTCAAGCCCTTAGTCCCACAGATGGTCCTGCAAGGTGCTTTCATGGCCTTCTGAACCTCCTTTAGCATGGTGCTTGCCACATATCACTCCCGTTAGTGTGTCTCAGGGCAAGGGTATTCATTATAGCAGTATTCCAGCTCCTCTTTAAGGATTTAAATTACATCTACTTGTGTGTGCTTGCACCATAGCTTGCGTGTGTGTGTCAGAAGACAATGTACAGGTGTTGGTTCTCTCCTTCCACTATGTGAGTTTCTGGCATTGAACTCAGATTGTCAGGCTTGGTGTGGAGCATCTTTACATGCTGGGATGTCTCTCTGCTTCTCAAATTCCCTTAAAGTTTCTTTTTTATGATTTTGAGTATGTGTACATACACACCAGTGTGTACCAGTGTGTGTGTGTGTGAGTCAGAGGATGATTTTTGTGGAATTGTTCTCTCTTTTCACATTTATGTGGGTTCAGGGGATTGAACTCAAGTAGTCAGGCTTGGATAGCAAATGCTTAACCCACTGAGTCACTTCCCAGCCCCTCAAACTCCATTTAAAATAACAAACCAACTAGTTTTGGCAGTGCTAGGGTTGAATTCAGAGTTTTGTGCATGATTGGTAGGTACCCTACCATTGAGCTCCATCCTTAGCGATCACTATTTACAGCAGAAAAAAAAAATCTAAACTGCATTAAGCTCAGTACAGTGGTGCACATCTGTAGTCCCATCTACATAGGAGGCTGAGGCAGGAGGTTCACTTGAGCTCAGGAGTTCATGGCAAAGCCTGGACAACACGGCAAAATTCTGTTTCAGACAATCAATCAACCATTCAACATAAGTTATATTTCTATGTACAGTCTGAGGTTTCTAGATAACTGGAACCAATTAAATATATACAGTAGGGTGTGTGTGACATAAACTCACAGGACCAGACCAGAGGCTGGATAGGCTCACAACAGCCCACTGATTGGGAGCTGCTCCATCTAAGAAGCCGGAAGCCTCAGAACACAAGGAAGTGGCAGCACAACCACAGTTCCAGGCTGATGGTCTGAAAGTTCCCTGGGAAGCTGCTGGTACAGATCCACATTTAAAGGGTGAGGGTCCCAGGATCTGATGCCTTTAGTAACAACAGGAGAAAACTGCATTGTTCAGTGAAGGCCCGCCCTTGGGAGAGTGAGTTTCTCCCCCTCTCAACTTCCATTCCATCTGGGCATTTGGAAGTTGCTGCTCATTCAGAGTGGATCTCTCACACTCAGTACGACGACCCACAGGCTGATCTCATTCAGCAACCCTCACAGACACCCAGATGTATGCTTTGCCAATGTTCTGGGCATCTCTAAAGCCAGTCATGTTGACATCCAAGATTTACTGTCACTATGTAAGAAAATGCTGTACAACAATGTAAAACAATAGTATTTATGAAACTGAACCCCATCAACAGGAAATACCAGATGTCTGGAGTCAACAGACTCCTAAGTGTTACAGAGGCAAGGATGTTTCATGATGAGTCAAGAATATTTTGAATGAAATGAAAACAGAATGTACAGACTTTGTGAAATGCACTAAAAGCAGAGAAACTGGTATCAGTAAATATGTGTTATAAAAGAAGGAAAATCTAAAACCAATACTCAAGAGTTTCCACCATAAGAAGCCAGAGAACAACTGGCATTATAACCCCAGGACAAGCAGAAGAAAAGAATAATAAAATGAGAGCCTCAGCCAGGTGTGGTGGTGCATGCCTGCAATTGCAGCATTCTGGAAGCCGAGGCAGAAGAACCGATGTGAGTCTCAGGCAAGCTTGGGCATATAGTGAGTTCCAAGATAGGACTACAAAGTGAGACTGTTGTCTCAAACCAAGCAGGGTGCAGTGGCACACATGTAATCCCAGAACTTGGAAGGTGGCAACATAAGCATCAGGAGTTCAAGGTAAGAGGTCAGCCTGGGCTACATGAGACCCTGTCAAGAGATGTAGGGCAGTTGGGTGAGGTAGACAGATAAATGGAATCAGGAAAAAAAAATAGAGAAAATGAAATAAAGCCAAAAGGTAGCTCATTGAAAAGACTAATACAATCAACAAATTTTTATCTAGGCAGGCAAACCAAGATGCACAAAAATTAATATCAGAAATGAAACAGGGGCCATCCCACAGATATTGAAAGGACAACAAAGGATATTATTATGTCACCACAACATAAACCACAGACCTGGTAAGTCTGATGATGAATGGCATGAATTCTTGGAAGATGTAAACAATGTAAACTCATATAAGGAAAAATGGACTACATAGCACTTCTGTATCCCTTATAGAAACTGAATTCTGCTGAGAGTGCTAGCTAACGAGTAGTCCCAGAAACCTACGACACTGAGGCAGGAACATCTCTTGATTCCACAAGTCTGAGATCAGCCTGGGCAAGGCTTCCACCTCAGAAGAGTGAGGGCCTGGGAAGTTGGCTATGTTGATAAAGTGCCGGGAACCAAATCCCAGCTCTCTGCAAGAGCAGCAAGTGTTCTTAACCACTTAGCCATCTGTCTACTTCATCCCAACCCCTTCTTGTTGTTTTTTAAACGGGGGTTTCTTAGTTCAGCTATCTGGACTCGTGGCAAGTTTGCTGGCACTGCTTGAATGCACTGCTGGTATTGTTATCTGCCCCTTGACCTGCAAGTGCATCAGACTTGGGTCAGCTCAGGGTATACTTGCCTTTCGGATGTCCTACTGCTTTCTTGTGAGCAGTACTTGCTACTAGCTAGGATCTAACAGCACAGATTAGGCCACCATCTTGTGAGACAAGGCATCCCATGGCATCTCATTGAGTGTATTCAATCTTCATGCATACAAATATCTACCCGGTCACATACTCAAACATTCATTCATCCAACAAATATTTAGTCAGTAGTATTTTGTGCTAAGTCCTAGCATAGAACTTCTAACTATAGCTAGAAGTAAGATTCAGAGTTACAAAGTATGTGTGTGAACATCTCTATGTGTTTTTAGCGGACACTATAGTTTCTCAAAATATGTGTGGCTCATTTATCAAACAAGTGAGAAGTACCCATCATTGAGGCCCAGGGCATCCAAAAGAATGTTTTAAGTCAGAATCATAACATTTATTTTCAGGTGAAAAAAACCGATAGTTCTTACCCTTGAGCAGTTTGTTGATGCCAAAGATTCCTATAAGATCCAGAACTATGTGGAAGAATATTAGCCAATGATTAAAAAACATGACTTCAGTGAAGTCTGAATTTGTGTAGATCATATCAGGGAGTGAGGTGAGCAACGAGTCAGATTTCACAGGTTAATCCAGTTAAGGCAATTTATCAGTGCTCCAGATAAGACCTCCGTCCAGGAGTCGCGCCCCTGGTGGTCCTTACCTCCTCTGCTGCTCCTCTTGACACTGCTGCTGCAGCCTATTCTCATTGTTCTTTGCTTCCTGGATCTCGTCCTCCAGTTGCTTCTTATGCGAAGTACAAGCATCCGAAAGGCAGACTTGTCGAGCATGGTCTAACTTCTGCTGCAGATCCAAAATCTTGGATGAAAAAGTAAAACATGGAGGGTATGACCCCTTTTCAACAACCATTATAGCAAGAATAGGAGACAGGAGGGACTGTTAGGGGCTCTTTCCCATCCTGTGTTATAAAGATATTCTCATGCTTCGCACTGTAAAAAGGAATCTGTACACGCACGTTGTTTTGTTTTTCCTGTGTAGCCTTGGCTGGCCCAGAACTGGCTGTGTAGACCAGGCTGCCTTCAAATTCAGAGATCCTCCTGCTTGAAGTCATGTACCACCTCCCCTGGCATAAAGTGCAGTTCTAAGATTCAGTTCCTCTCTCTTGTTCACTGGCTTCTGCAAGTGACAGGCAGCAATGAGCTCCTAATGTCCTGGTCACACCCATTATTTACTGCTGCAGTTACAGGCCCAGGGATCCCTCCTGTTTCTGTTTCTCCAAAGCTGGGATTTCAGGCATGCATCGTGGGTTCTGGGGGGTCTGAACCCAGGTCCTCATGCCTGTATGGCAAGCACTTGACTGACTGAGCCATCTACCAGTCCGAGAAATTTATATTTTTTAGTTTCATACATTTTCCAAAAATACACAAATGTATTAGAATGGTAGTGGCAGATGAAATAAAATTACAAAAAAGAGGAAAACACAGAAAGAGTAAAGGAAAAGAATAGCCTGTGCCCAGGATCGCACACAACTGTCCTAAGGTCGTCGGGGAGCAGGGCTCTAGACATGTGCATGGAGTGCTGTGGGGAGTGGGGGCGTTGCTTCTTGAGCATGAAGATAATCACCTTTTCCTGTGCATCGGCCGCTTTTGATTTCTCCTGAGCCAGCTTTTCCTGAAGGCTCTGCTGGGATTTAATGATCTGAGCCTGCCTAAGTTCTTCCAGCTCCAGCTCCCGGACTCTCTGCTGACAGTGTTTCCATTCTGCCGTGAGTGACGAGTGCATCCTGGCGTTGTCTAGCAACTTCTCCTGGGCCTGCTTGAGTTCGATTTTGATCTAGAGATGGGGCATAAATAAAAATCATAAAAATAGGTCTGGAGATGAAATTAAATAGCAGAAAGTGTGCCTAGCATTTCTGAGGCACTGGGTTGGAGACCCATAGTACATGTGTGTTTGTTACGCATGCGGGCAGGTGCACACACACACACACACACACACACACTCACACACAGATAAAAGCAAACATGGAGGCTGGCAAGGTGGCTCAGCCAGTAAAGGTGTTTGATGACCTGAATTAAATCCACTGGATGCTACACAGTGGAAGGAGAGAACCGACTCCCAGAAATTGTCCTCTGACCTCTGTGTGTGTGTGTGTGTGTGTGTGTGTGTGTGTGCCATGGCACATGTACACCACACTCATTCACATACACAATTATGTTATTATGAATGCTGATAATCATAGGCATCAAGGAGTTACCACTATTAGATTAGAGATAAGTTTTTAAGTGTGAGTTACAAAAACTGTTGAGGATGTGATGCTGATTTTTTTTTTTTAACATTTATTTATTTTGTTTACAGTGTTCTACCTGCATGTATGTCTGCATGACAGAAGAGGGAACCAGATACACTACAAATAGTTGTGAGCCACTAAGTGGTTGCTGGGAATTGAACTCTGGACCTCTGGAAGAGCAGCCATCTCTCTGGCCCCAGTGATGCTGATTCTTACGTAATGCAGATAGAAACAGACCATATAAGCACATGAGTAACCCATGCACTGGCCCCATAATTGAATGATCTCACTTCCCAGAGTCCACAGAGTCACACTTACTGATATTAGCATGCCCACTTGGTCGTACATGTCTGTGACCTTTAAAAAGTAGAAAGACAAACCAGCAACCCTAACTGTTTATACTACACAGGAAAGAGTGCTTCACCCATGAGTTGGGCATTTCTGAAATAGTGAGCTTTACTAATTCCTGAAGACTAGAGAAACTCCATCTCCAAAAACGCTAATGGACATGTAAAAATCAAGCCACGTGGGGAAGAAAAGTAGAAAGAAATTACAACCCAAGAGCCAAATGCTTCCCTGTAACTGATGGGTCAAAGGTCAATAGGAAACAAATGATCACTAGCCTTGCCTCTATGGTAACACCGAGAGGAAATCCTAGATTGAGCATTAATGAACTGCCCCTTTCCAGTGAACACTCACTTTTTCTCCCCATCAAACCAGTGTAATGTCTCCGTCCTCATGTTCTCATTGGGTACTGATACAGGGGTGATACTGGTGGAGGGTTGGTGGCACTTTTGAAACATTATTGACAAACTATTAACGTTATCAACAAATCTGTTAATGCTTCCTTTCTTCTCAAAAGGAACTCTGACCTACCAAGAAGCCTGGAGTTTTTATTTTCAAGTATAATCTTGCTGCACAAAAACCCAGCAAGAGGTGAGCAGGGAAGGAAGAAAGCAGATGGAGGGGTATTCAGCGCACTGGATTGGTTCAGGGTCAGGAAACCTCAGCCTCTCATTGTTAGTGAGGAGGACACCTGTCCTTTCCTAGCACACTGTCCATTGACTCCACAGGCGTAGCAGAGAAGCTGAGGGCCGTGGCAGCCAGCAATGAAGCCCACAGGCACTGTTTAGAGATGCTATGAAAGTCAAGTGGTATTGGTGTAAAAGCTGACCTCTGCCTCCAAGGTAGGTTCTGCAGTCCAAAGAAGATCCCATACAGTGTCTCAGTGTCCCTGGTGGCACAGAGTATATGTGAGAATGTGACTGGGGTTGCAGTAGAGGTTGCGGAGATGCCAGTGTGCTGGCTTGACTCTATGTTGTTCTAGGTGGTATCCGCAGTCATTCCCTTTGGAACTTGTTAGATGGTACATCCAGCCATTCATAGGGATTGATTAGGATCTGTGCTGTTCTGGTCATTGCATCACAAGAAAGAAATAGTATTGCTTGAGTATGTTCAGAGTTCAACACTTAAGCTGGACACAGTGACATGTGCCTATGAGGAGGAGTTTAAGGCCTGAGTTGGTTTCATAATGAGTTTAAGACCAGCCTGGTCTACACGACACTGTCTCAAAACCAGCAAACTTCTTTAAGAGGGTTCAATTTGACATTCCTGGTTTTTGCCACTCTCAATTTGGCAGTACTGGGGATTAAACCCGGGCCTTGAACATGCTAGGCAAGCACTTTACCACTGAGCTACATTCTCAGGCCCTGCATATTCAAGTTTAGAACCTTATAGAGGGTTGTATACACTAGAAACTAAGTCTGTAATGTACATGTATAGAACTGAATTGTAACTGGAAGGATACATTATTTACATGGTGCCTTTTTCTGAACTTTCATGTGATGGAAGATGTCATTCTGTAAATATGTTTCTCTTATTGGTTAATGAATAAAGTCCTGTTGGCCAATAGGAAAGCAAGATAGGCAGGACTAGGAGACTAGGAGGAGAGAGAAAGAAGTAGGGAGGAGATTCAAGATGTAGGACATAGAGAAAAAAAAATGCCAGGCCCTCTCTCCGGTAAGATAAGACCATGTAAAAATATTTAGATGAATAAAAATGGGTTAATATTAAGAGCTAGCCAATAAAAAAATGCTAGTAACAGGCTAACAGCTTTGTATCTAATGCAGTGTCTTTGTGTGTTATGTGGGGCTGGTGTGGCACTGGGACTAGGACGGCGGGAAAACCTACTCATAACACCCATGTGTTTCCAAAAACACCTGTGAATCTGTGACCTCCCCCCTCATGGATACATCTACTGGGGAGAAATACACCTGGCTATACCCAACTAATGCAGGGAGAACAGTGACTAAAATTAAATTGAACGTTAAAAAGTTTGAGATAAAGATCTCAACAGATCATGTCACTATAACCCTTTTCCTGTTTGGGGACTGATACTATCTATGCACACGATGGCAGCAGATGAGGTGGAAGAAGGGAGTTAAGATACAGCTTGCTGGGCGGTGGTGGCGCACGACTTTAATCCAGAGCCCGGGAGGCTGAGACAGGCTGATCTCCGTGACTTTGAGGTCAACCTGGTCTACAGAGCCTTTCCCGCAAGGCTCTGAGTGGGAAAGGCAGTGCTGGGAGACTCACCTTGATGTTCTCCTCCTGAAGCAAACTGTTGTGCTGTTTCAAGTCTGAGCTCCTGCCTCGCTCATATCGCAGCTCCTTTTCAGCCGAGTTGCACAGGATCTGGAGGCGGTGCAGGTTCTGTCGCAGTTGCTGTACTTCCCCTTGATGCTGGCAATTGGCTTTCTCCCCAGATGTTAGATACTGAGGCAAACATTTAAGAAAGACATGCACTCGAGAGAGCACTGGTTCAAGCTGTCAGCACAACCGTAGGGATCTGAGTGCTCATGCGCAAAGGCTGCAGCTGTTGGTTCATTCACCTACAACAAACGATGCTTCTATACCGTAATTTAAAAGCTTCTACGCTGGAGTGAAAAGGCCAGAGGGGTATGGGAAAAAAGCAGCTGCGCATGGACAATTAACCTTTTTAATGTCTCATAGCAATGAAAGACAAACAGAGTAGAGGATTTTAAACACTCATTTTGAGTCTCAGAACTACAAAATCCCTCGAGAATTAAAACAACCAGGAACCCACACTATTTTGAAGATTTAAAGAAAAAATACATTTAATTTAAAATTCTATTTCGTTTTATGTCTTTGGGCATTTGCCTGCATGTACACCTGTGCACTGCTTGCATGTCTGATGCCTGTGGAGGTCAGAAGTCAGATCCCCTGGAACCTCGGAGTTACAGACAGTTGTGAGCTGCCATGTGGGTGCTGGGAATCAAACCTGAGTCCTCTGGAAGAGCAGCCAACACTCCTAACTGCTGAGGCATCTCTCCAGATCCACATTTAATTTTCTTATTTTGATTTTCGTGTGTGTGTGTGTGTGTGTGTGTGTGTGTGTGTGTATGCAAGCATGAGCACACACATATACACAGGTACGACATGGCGTATGTGTGGCAACCAGAGGACAACTCTCAGGAATTTGTTCTCCCCTTTCACCATATGGGTCCTGGGGACGAAACTCAGGTCATTAGATTGAGCAGCAAGTGCCTCCTACTGAGCCATTTAACTAGCCCACTTAAAAATAATAAAATGAAAATTTAAATACAAACCAAAGTTCAAATATTGGTTTCATAGGAAGATCATTCCTGTTATGAAACTAGAGTGAAGATATGGGTTTTTAAATCTTCCCATCTCAGGATGTGGATGGGGTGGGCCAGAGTGAGGATACAGGCTTTAAATCCTTCCATCTGGGGATATGGATGAGATGGGACACAAAATGAGTCATCAGGCCAAGCCCTTCATGGTCCTTAGCCAAGCATCCTTTAGAATCTGATTCTCCCCCTGCTCCAAAAAAAGGTTTCTCTGTGTAGAACTTGCTCTGTAGACCAGGCTAGCCTCAAACTCATAGAGATTGGCTTGCCTCTGCCTCCCAGGCCTCTGCCTCCCAAGTGCTGGGATTAAAGATGTGTGCCACCACCACCTGGCCCCAGAATTTGATTCTTTCTTAGCTTTCTGTAGGAAGATGCTTCATTGTTTGTTTCAGTGTATTCATGTGATATTTCATTGTAAAGAGATGGAATCATGGGGCTGGAGAGCTGGCTTAGCAGTTAAGAGGACCAAGGTCTGACGTGGGATAAATTCACCACGATAATTTATGATACCATAGGAGGGCTTTGGGAAGGCAAATCACTATTCTTCCTTGGGACCATCAAGTGAGAACTGTTTGCTTTTTGTGGGTTGTTAGCAAAGGGAAGCAATTGGCGATGCAGCCAGAGAATCAAACTCTAGACTCTAGAGTCTAGAGGAAGTAGACCTAGGTTTCATCACTATTTCAATGTGGGTAAATACCTCCTATCTTATCCTAAAGCCTCCATCCCTCCACCTGTAAGATGCACCTGATTATACTCCTAACCCATCATATAATTTAATGCACATGGGTGGTCTAGTGTGGTACCCAGAGCACAGCAAAATACCCAAATATTAGAAACAGTTTTAAGCCCACACAATTAAGATAATACTGCTTCCAACTTGGTTCAAGAGTAGTAGGAAAGTAACCTTCCCTGGACTAGTGTTAACCAGATGGTCAGCATCAATAGCTGTTGTCACAAAATACTTCTGCATACACACAACACACACACGTAGGCATGAGAAGAATTATAAAAATTCAGAGATGGGTGTTTACTTAATAAAAACATGTGTCTCAATGGGTAGCCAGGAAAATTAGGGGCTATAATATTTGGGTATCAAATATCTAGTAAGATGTACACAGAATATGTGAAACAAAACAAATGTAATCCAATTAAAGCTAGCAAAAGGAGCTGACTAGACATTTCTCTAATGACAATGTGTATGATACTGATGAAAACATTTAAAAATACATCATGCCATTACTCATTAGGAAAAAATAAAACCAAAGCCACGATGAAATACTACTTTATAGACACTAAAATGAGACCATTACAGTCTTGGCAAAGATGGAGAGGAGAAGCTGAGACCATGTACATTACTTGTGTGACCCACTAATTTTATTCTTTGATGTTGACATAATGGAATTCGAAATATATGAGGTCTTGGCATGGTGGTATATGCATGGAATCCTGGCACTGGGGAAACTGAGGTAGGAGATTCTAGAGTTGGATGCCAGCCAGCCTGGAATTATAGAGACCTCCCACTCAAAAACAACAACAAACAACTCCAAATGAAACATGAGATGGCTGTGCATAAATGTTCACAGCATTCCTATTTGTAATAATCAGATGACAACTAATGTAAAATATGCTATAACCATAAAAGACATAACTGACCTGAAAAAGAATGATGAATCACTGATAGATACTAGTTATTATCTTGAATAAGCTTTGAAAACCCATAACTCAAAACATGTCAGCCACAAAAGGTCATCTATTACAATGCTAAATATACAGAAAGACCCAGAGTAGACAAACCGATGGTGAAAGTAGGTAGATTAGTAGTTGCCTAAGGCAGGGGCAATAAAGGAAACAGGGAGCAATGTAATGGCAGTGTCCTAGTTAGCTTTCGCTGTCAACTTGACCCAGCCGAGAGCCAGCCAAAGGAATCCCAGCTGAGGAATTGCCCAGGCCAGATGTGTGGTGCTACGCTGTCTGACATCTCTTGCTTTCAGAGACTGTAGTCTTGTCTGACCTTGCTGCCGAGTTAACAATGCACCTTGAGATAATTTAAAAACCATGCACTTAGCCTGCTCTACTACTGTGTACTCAGCCTAAGTTTAACCTGCCTTTAAGAGAGCAATAAAACCAACCTCACCAAGCCTTGCATTTCCCATGCCATTGGCTTTTACAGGCTAGGCTATGCACAGCTTTAATCTTAAATTATGGACTCTTCCATACTTTGACAGAATAATGTTGTGTTTCGTGTGTGTGTGTGTGTGTGTGTGTGTGTGTGTGGTGGAGGAGGTGACCATTTGCTGAAAACAGCCAGCAGATTGAAAGCAACCTTAAACAAAATATCCCCAAAATGTTGGAAGCAACATGAGGATATAAGCTGATAATATCCGTGTGAGGTCTTGAGTGCTACATTTGATCCATTGGGATTAATGAATAACCTCTTCCCTTATAACGCTCTGTATAAAAGTATATTTCATCACCCAGGCCCTGGACCGGCAAACAGCTACCCAGCTGCTTAAGCTTGCCCACAAGTACAGGCCAGAGACAAAGCAGGAGAAGAAGCAGAGTCTGTTGGCCCTTGCCGAGAAGAAAGCTGCTGGCAAAGGGGATGTCCCAACTAAGAGGCCTCCTGTCCTTCCAGCAGGAGTCAATGCAGTCGCCATCTTGGTGGAGAACAAGAAGGCTCAGCTGGGGGTGATCGCCCACGATGTAGACCCCACAAAGCTGGTGGTCTTCCTGCCTGCGCTGTGTCGGGAGATGGGGGTCCCCTACTGCATCTTCAAGGGAAAGGCCAGGCTGGGGCGGCTGGTCCACAGGAAGACATGTACCACTGTTACCTTCACACAGGTTAACTCGGAAGACAAGGGAGCTCTGGCTAAGCTGGTGGAAGCTATTAGGACCAATTACGACGACAGATATATGATGAGATACGCCACCACTGGGGAGGCGATGTCCTGGGTCCTAAATCTGTGGCTCGAATTGCCAAACTGGAAAAGGCAAAGGCCAAAGAATTCGCCACTAAACTGCGTTAAATGTACACTCACTGCTAAGTTTTCTGTACATAAAATACAAATTTATCTTTTAAAAAAAAAGTATATTTCATTCCTTATTTTCTGTGCTGCTCAATAAATATAGAGAAAATCGAAAATCCCCTTTTTAGGCACAGACATAGGGCACAAGCACAACAAACAGGCGATAAGGACACGTCTCCCTCTCCCTCTCTCATACACACACAACACACACACCACAGACAGACCATAGACCACAGATGGAAGGAAGTAGGAAATTCAAATTTGGACTCCCTCTTTGTCAAACTACTCCAAGAGGGAGTTCATTTTCACAATGGGATATTAGTGGTCTGATTGTTAGTTGGATAGGAGAGCCCAGCCCACCAGGGTAGCACCATTCCCTGGGTAGGCGGTTAAGGAAGCTAGTGGAGTCTGTGTGGTCCACCAAACAGAGCTCCTTCACGGTTTCTGCTGTACTTCCTCTGCCGTGAGTGAGCTATTAGAGCCACTATGCTGTGTGGAATGGCAAGTAGGCTGCCTGCAATTTCTGCCTGAGCTCCTGCCCTGCCTTCCTCAATGATGGACTGTGACCTGGAAGTGTAAGCCAAATAAATCCTTTCCTCTAAGTTGCGTTGGTCGGAGCGTTTTATCACAGCAACAGAAAGAAACTAGAACAGGACGGATGATGTTTCTAAGGTGACATTGTGGACCCAGTCAAAACAACTGAAGAACCAATTCAAATGTTTACACTGAATGGGGGTCTTAGTTACTTTCCTGTGATAAAACACTGTGACCAAGGCAACTCATATAAGAAAGCATTTAATTAGGTATATGGTTCCAGGGGGCTAAGGCCATGGTTGTAGGAGCAGCTGAGAGTGCAGTCTCCAACCACAAGCAAGAGACAGAGAGCACATTGGGAATGGAATGGTGCTAGTCTTTTGAAACTGTAAGCCTTCTCCTAGTGATACATTTCCTCCAACAACATCTAACTTTTCCTAAACCCTTCCACCAACTGGGGGCCAAGTAGTCAAACATCTGAGCCCATGTTATTCAAACTATGTCAATAATTGCATTTCAAAATAACAGAGAGGATGGAGACGTGGTTAAGAGCATGTGCTCCTCTCTTCCAGAGGACCTGCTTTGATTCTCAACCATGTGTTAACTCAGTCCCAGGGTGCACAGACATACTACATGCAGGCAAAACACCCACCCACACACACATTATATTTTTAGTTAAAAGAAATAGAACCTAGTATCTTCCTCCTAAACTTTTCACATCTTTGACCCAGAAAAACCAAGACCAAGTTGTTATGTCCCCAAATGCAACTAACCCAAGTGCTATGGGGTAAGCCCCATAGACATGCTGCACATCCCACTGGGTGAGACATGAGAGAACAGCTTTATAAGACAAGGAGGGAGATCTCAGGCCAAAAGTGAATTTGCAGCCTTGTCCAGCAGACAACAGGGATATCAGAATGTCCCACTGATTGAAATGCCACCAAAGTCCTGGACAAAGGTGAGGCATGAGGTCTGGTTTCTGTTGAAGCTGCAGTAAGGTGGGTCCTGTTCTTGTTTATAGAGGTGACACAGCTCTCTAGATCACCTTCAAACACTGAGCTTAGCTAACACATAAACACATATATGGCATAGAGAACTCCTTGATGACCAATGTGTGTGGGCAGCTGATGACTGCTTATAGTGGTCCCTGTGGTTTGCTTAGGCAGTGTAAGTGGGTTCTGCACTCACTCATCCTGAACTTTTCAAATAAACTTCGATACTCAGTGCTCCATCACCCCCCTCCAAGCTAGACATCCACCTCGAGTTTTGAGAAGAGTTTAGAAAATGACCAGATGGGAAGAGCAGGCCCTGTTGGACCACAGACCATTAGCTGGACCCTAATTCGGGTGTTAGCTTCATTGACCTTATTCACTGCATTCCAGGCAATTCATCTTGGTTGAAGACATAACTTCAACTTTTTTTTCAATAACTCATGGTCATTAGGGGGGAACACTTACTGAATTACACTAGAATTTGTTGAAGCCCCAAGAGATTGTGTGGTCTGCAGAACTATCTTCCCTTCCTCAAAGTGGATACACTCAAAATGTCCTTAGAATTTTTTGCTTATTTTGCAGTTTCAAACTGTCTATTTGTCATTATTGTGAGTGTCCCTGTTTCTGTTGTTTAGAATTTCATGCAGGTATGCAATGTTCTCCATCAATCCACTCACTCCCATTCTTCCCCACCCTCCCTCCACTCCTCCTCACTGTTTTGTTCCTTGTTACACGGTGTTGACTAACAAGTGCTTCCAACAAAGGGGAAAGATACATTAAACTAACAAATTAGCCAGGAATTACTTTTCAGACATTAAGTTACATGTAGGCAAAACTTTTGTAATCTTAGCTGAGCATGGTGGCACATACCTCTGATCCCAACACTCAGGAGTGAGTGAGCCAGGAAGATTGTGAGTTTGAGGCTAGCCTGGGCTACATATTGAATTTCAGGCCAGCCTGGCTGCAAAGAAACACCCTGACCCCCCAAACCAGCAAAACTACCACTAACAAAACCCCAAATAACAATAACAAAGATTTTTGTAATCTTCATGTCCCATTCAGCATCTTCTCACACTTGCTACTCTGGGGTCCAAATGGGACTTATTGTTGGGCATTTGATGGCATGCTTTTCTATGGGCTTCTGAGCCAAAGAAGATCTGAATCTGCTTTCCTCTGTGTGTGTGTGTGTGTGTGTGTGTGTGTGTGTGTGTGTGTGTGAGTGAGAGAGAGACAGACAGAGAGAGAGAGAGCGCTCATTCTGCTGCAGCACAGGCTGCCTTTGAACTCCTGAATGGTCCTCCCTCTTCAGTCTCTGGTGAGTCTATAGTGATGAGCCACCAAACCTGGTTATATTTTCTTTAATTACTGTAGTTTCTCCAAGTTTTAAATTCCATTTCCAAATGTACGTTTTACTCATCTCCTATCCTTTTCCCATGCTGGACTCAGATCCTGGGCATGCTTACATTTCCAGCCCTCGACTTACATAAAAAAAACAAACAAACAAAATGAGCCGGGTGGTGGTGCACACCTTTAATCCCAGCACCTCTGGGAGGCAGAGACAGGTGGATCTCTGTGAGTTCGAGGCCAGCATGGTCTGAGCTAGTTCCAGGACAGCCAAAGATATACAAAGAAACCCTCTCTTAAAACAAAACAAAACAAAACACCCCAAAACTAGTTGTGTCCCATGCCTTTAATCCTAGCACTTTGGAAAGGGCTACAGATTTCTGTGATTCAGTCTGGCCTCTATAGTTTCAGACCAGCCAATGTTACACCATGAGATACTGTTTCAAAATAAGCAAATAAATAATAAAAATGAAAGGTTTGCCTATGTTTCTCTGTGTGTGTATCTGTGCATGAGACTGCAGGTGCCCTACCCTTCAAGTTGGAGTTTCAAGCCGAGCCATCGGGAGTCACCTATTGTGGGTTCTAAGTTCAGGTTCTTTGCAAGAGCAGAACTCACTCTTAACTGCTGAGTCAGCTCTCCAGCCTTCCGTTTGGTAAAGTATTCCCTTCGCTTACTTCTCAAGTATGTTTTATCAACCTTTTTTTCCACTTACAGCTCAGGCTAACCTCAAAGTCACTAAGTGACAGAGGGTGACATAGACCTCTTGATCCTCCTACCTCTACCTCTCAAATTCTGGGTTAGCAGGACAGCCCCTGGCATTTTGTCTGCGCTTTGAAGGTGGTTTACTTGCAAATACAGCAGTCTTCTGAGGGTCTCAAATAATTTCCGGGAAGGTACCTACAGAGAAATTTTACTCTGTACAATGGCGTCCTGTAAGATTAAGAACCAAAGTGAGGCTGGGGCTGCTCCCTTTAATTCTCTTACAGGTAGACCATATTTAAAACAATTCCCTGAGGTCATTTTCTCTACCAAAATGAACACTTGGTTCACTAAGCCACCTGGAATAGGTAGCCATCCTTTCCCTTGACCCACCGAAGGCAGATGTGTTCCTTCTGAGCCCGCTTCATGCTTATGGCTCAGAGGTGACTTCCATGTTTAAAACCCACAGGAAGGCAGGAGGAGAGAACTGCCCCAATAAGGTGAATCAACCGGTTCAGGCTTTGGTTGTAAGTTTATTACCATTCAAGCTGTGGCTGGAACATTGCATTAGAAACAGACATGAAGAACTAAGATGGTAAAAGTGATGCCTATCTCCAGGGCTAGTCCGAGGGACCAGACCCACAGAGGGTGTCTGCAGAACCTACCTGGGTGCTACTGTCATCTGAACTATCCCCACATGGCTGAGACTGGATGCTCAGCTCTTCTCCAGGCCTTTCTCTGGGCTCCTTGGCCAACAGCTGTTCATGGTCTCCATTCTGCTGCGGCCCCTCCTGACTCTCTCTTGGAAAAGCGGCCACCTTCACTGACTCCTTTGGCATCTCCTCCTGCTTACTTTCTCCTAATTCAGAACTTGGTACAAACACAACAACAAAAGACCCATCACACAAGTATTCTTGTGGCAGAATAGTGAAGAAAATCCTACACACTAGAGAATTTTTTTTTTTTTCAAACTTGAATTGTATGGCTGGAAGTTGTTCTTGTGCATTTTTATAACAATGACTCTTATTTTTTCACTCACAGACAACGAGATGATCCATCATCTATTTTCATTTACAGCTCAACAACCAGTTTAAATGATTTTTTTTATCCTCCCTGGACTTTTAGTATTGTACTGGGCAGATTCAGGTCATAAAGAGTTCCAAATGTCACTCAAGAGCAGGTACTTCAACAGGCAATGGGACTACGGTGAGCTGTGAGAGGTTTATAATTGAGAACTAAGGAAATTTAGACAGTAATTAGGTCTGGTTAAGTGTATGTGTACACACACACACACACACACACACACAGAGAGATATTGGTAGGAGATTTTAGTACAGATAAGAACACAAGAAAACAAAGTATCCCAGGATGGTTGAACTAATAACATCTGGAAAGCTAGCAAGATGGCTCAGTGGGTAAAGGAACTTGCTGCTAAGCCTGATGACCTGAGTTTGGTATTTGGGACTCAGATGGTAGAAGAATCAAACCCTTTTAAGTTGTCCTCTGATATTCATAAGGGTACTGTATGCTTGTACCTCCCATTCTCCACTTAACTGTATGGGTTTGTTTTTATTTTTTTTTTAAATAGAAATTAAAAAAAAAAAACATGCCAGGGAAACTCAATGAGAGGCTGTTGTCTCCATCCACATAATAAAAGTCAGGAATGGGAACCACGATTGTGTCTGGAGAGACTTCCAAGTCAGTGTTCATGACATCCACCATCTATCAGATGTGGCAGGTGAGGGAGAACAAGGTACATTTGGATTTCTAACTGGGGCAAACTCATGAACAGACTGTGGACTAGGGGGAAGGGTGTGCATAAGGCACGGGTAGATGCTTGAGGATCCAGACCCAGGGGAGCAGAGGCAGAAACCTCAGCACTGAACACAAGGAAGAGGAGGATCATCTTAGACAGGAGCCAAAGGCTTGTAAAAAAAAAAAAAAAAAAAAAAAAAAAAAACAAGCAGAAGGGGCTGGAAAGCCAGAGAAGAGGGGGTACTCTTGAGAACTTAAGCCTCGGAAACAGAAGGAGGGGCGCAGCTTCGGCCATCAAGGAATGTATAGAAGATGGAGTAGATGGAGTGCTCACAGACATGCTGGGAGGTCTTGCTGCATTGTGTTTCTGCCATCTTCCTTCCTTTTTTTTTTTTTTGGCGGTGCTGGGACTGACTCCAGGGCTTCCTGCATGCTAAGCCCTCTCCCACTAAGCTACACCCCAGTCCCACTTTTATTTCCATTCCCTCAACCTGAAGTTCGTTTGGGACATCTTGGAGGCCAGCACTGCATGCTTCACCGATCACAGTTGTTACAGTCAAGAGGGCAGCTGGCAACACAAACCAAGCACCATAAAAATATTCAGAATCTGAGGCTGGAGAGATGGCTCAGCAGGTAAGAGCACTAGTTGCTCTTCCAGAGGACCTGGGTTCAATGTTTAGCCGACAGCTCAAAACTATCTGTAATTCCAGTTCCAGGGAATCTGATTTCTTCTTCCAGCCCCCATAGGTACCAGGCATGCATGTGATGCACGGTCATACATGTAGGCGAAACACCCATACACATACAAATAATTGATTAAAAAAAAAAGAAAGCCCAAAGCCACCTTAAAATGTTTAGATTCTGAAAAATTGTAATCGATGAACATTCATTGTTCTGTGGTCTGTGAATTGAACTAGGGTTTCACACATGTTATACAGGTGCTGTTGAGCTATAACCCCAGTCTCCATGAATATATTATAACAGTAATATCAAATAATTCATAAGATTAAAGCTGAGTATTCAAAGCTGCTCATAATGATGTTCTAAAAACAACAGCTAAAGGAGACACACTGCCCCTGCCTGGACATGGTTTCATTGCTACCCCAAAGGGGCTCTCTTGAGCAAGCCCGCCACCGAGACATTTTGATCGGGAAACCCTTCAGCCAATGAGGTGGGAAACAGTCAAGGATTACTCCTGACATCAACCTCGGGCCTGGACATGCAGACACACAAACATGCACACACACCTCCACACATGCAAACATGCACACACATGCATACACACAGAAAAAAGAACATGACTGTCCCCTCCTTGCTCTCAGGCATATGTTCATCCTGCTGTAATGCCATCTGCTGGAAAGTCCTCACCAGAAGTGGGTGCCATACTTCCGAACCCCCAGAACTATGACCCAAATAGACTTCTTAAAAAATACAGCCTCAAGTATTTTGTCATACCAACAGACATGTTCCCCAAATCAGCAAACGGCGAACAAAACAATCCAGCTGGAATTCAAGTTATTTTATTTATTTAAAATTGTATTACATTTAAAATGTGGTGTGTGTGTGTGTGTGTGTGTGTGTGAGTGTGTGTGTGTGTGAATGTTCATGCATGAATGACACTGTGCACGTGTGCAAGTCAGAGGACAACCTGTGAGAGCCAGTTCTATCCTCCCGTCATATAGGGTCTAGTGATCAAACTTGGGTTTGGTGGCAAACACCCTTACCCCCTGAGCCATCTTGCTGGCCCTGTCTTTATTTTTTGAGATTGGGGGGGGGGTGTCTCTCACTGAGCCTAGAGCTCACCAATTTAGCTAGATACTCTGATCTGTGAGTTCTGGGAACCTTTCCATCTCCATGTGCCAAACCAATAGAGGGACACGTGAATATCACCACTGTATCTGCTGGAGATCTGAACTTAGGTCCTCATGCTTAAATGGCAAGCCCTTCACTGCCTGAGCCATCTCCCAGGCCACCTCTTACATTATTTTTACGACTTTCTCCATGCTCAAGTTACTTTATCTTCTTCAACCTGATTAGAGTCACTAATCCCAAAGTCCCATTGATTAAAAAAAAAAAAATGTTTACACATAGTAGGCAGAGTGATTTTCCTAAAGCACTACCTTCTTGTTTTGCCCAGGCCGATAAACTCTAAAGGAATTTTTTACTGTTTAGATTCCTAGCTAGGGTGTTGGGTGCTTCTTTGGTAGGTGTGAAGCCCCATGATTAACCCCAACATTGAAAATCCAGTAAGCAAACACTTAACCTGATATAAGCATTCCATGTACCTATATGTTTGGAGTCTGCCTGCATCTTATTCCCATTGTTCCCCTTACCCTTAACACTTCACACAAACCTATGCCCCTCCTTCCCGTTTCTCTCTGTCTCTGTCTCCCTGAACCCGTTTGACCCTTGATAGACTACAAAGCTAGCACTGTCTTATTTAACTACCTCCTCCCATCAGACCATAGCGTTAAACCTGTCTGAATTTGTGCCTTCCCTCTGCTTGGAGCACTTGCACACAGGGAACAAATGGTTAATGCTAAATTCAGTTGTGTTTCAGGTCTGACTGAAGTGTAGCCGGCCAAGGGGCACAGGCAATAAAACAGGAGCCATTAGAGACAGGGAGAGAGAGAAACCACAGCAGGTATCCTGAGTTCTCATAGTCCCAACAATGGGAAGTTGTTTGGGCCAAACCATGGAAACAAGGGTGGTGAGTATTGGAAAGAAAGAAAGAAAGAAAGAAAGAAAGAAAGAAAGAAAGAAAGAAAGAAAGAAAGAGAAAGGAAAAGAAAGGAAAAGAGAAAAGTATCACAAGAGAGAAAGATGCCACATGACAGAGTTCAAGTGGAGGGTTTTGTTTTTTTGTTTTTTTTTTGTTTGTTTGTTTGTTTTTTAATTAGGGGAAAGGGAATGGGAAAGGGGGGAAGGAGAGGGGGAAGACCAGTCTCTGGGGACAGGAGCAGTGGGAGAGAGGAAAGAGGCAGAGGCAGAAGCAGAGGCAGAGAGAGAGAGAGAGAGAGAAACATACACAGAGAGATACAGACAGATAGAAAGAAAGAGAGAGAGGGGATAGGGTGGGCAGGGCCCTTTTAAAAGGAAACATAGTGAATGTGCACAGGTGGTGCTCTTAGTGGCTGCAGCTGAGGGTGTATCCTGTCAGAACTCCAAAGGCAGGCCAGTACAGATGCCTAAATACTAACAGTGAGGAGCTCTTTAGACAGAAGTCCAGAGTCCATCTCCTGGTAGAGTTCCCACCACAGAGGAATGATTATGTGGCAAGTGCCCCCCACCAGTGACCAGTGACCCACCACAGCTGGTGGGGTTGAGCACCTCTGACTGATGCTTTCTGTGAAGTTTTCAGGGTGGTTGCTACATCCCAGCAGCCTCTTGCTCCAGGTTACAGTTCCTTCAATTGCGGCTCATAATGGATTAACCAAACTGCCTGTCACCTTCCATCTTCATCTAATGAAATGCTACGACAACTTCCCTTGAAACCTGTCACACTGTCCCCTGCTCTAGAATTAGGCTTTCTCCATCCCTCCACCAAACCTAAACATGGTGAGCCAGCTTCTCAGTTACTTGCTTTTGGGCTCATTATCACAGACTGCCCCCATCTCTCCAAGATGTCTTTCCCACCCCACACCTGCCATCTCTCCAAGATGTCTTTCCCACTCCACCCCTTGGTTTCCTGGTTGGGAATCTTGGACTCAGAACTAAAGTTAAAAGAACATAAAAGTCAGGAGCTTCCAAACTGGCAAAGCAGTATCTATCTTAGAACATTTATGCAGAGATAAATTTGGTGACCCAGTCTCCCCAGCTCATGGAAATGGGTGCCCTTTAGGTTGGTGTCTAAAGAGCATGGGCATATACTGTTTCCATCTCAGTGGCCAAATTTTGTTCACACACAGTAATTTGTTCCTATTAGTTTTTGTACCAGATTAGAGCAGATCATTTGCCCAAAGCCTCCAAAACATCTGTGAAGGATAATTTTGGTTAAAATGTGTAAACACCGAGTTAGGGAGCAAGATTAAATAAATAAATAAAAGAGAAGGGTCCTAAAATTTCAGTTATCAGGTATAATGTCAAATAAGATCAGCAAGACAGAAACTCTATATAGACAATTTACCTGCATACCTGTGTGCATAGAAGAGAGAGAGAGATGGGTGTCTTTCTCCCCGAGGAGAACTGTGGGTTATTATAACCGCTTTTACTTTTACATGCTTCCTATGTTTCAACAGAAAGCACACGCTAATTTTCAAAAGCTAGAGGAAAAGTTTCAAAATGCAATGTTAATGCTAAATCACAAATCAGCACGCTCTGTCAGCCCATTGCCTATGCTGCGAGTGGTACCCTACTCACTGCCCAGTCCGTCTGTTCTCTTCCATAATACTCAATGTACAACTGTTACAAAAAAAGGACAAACTCTAGGAAATGCTTAAAACTAATTTCTTCCTGATTACATCTCTTGAAAATGAATGTGAAATCCTTAGGATATCCATGCCAAATAAACCCCTCCAATTACTGTGTTCAGGACCTTCTCAGTTTACCAAAATGCCTGCCTTTCTTCACTTGGGCTCAGAAGCTCTGCTTCCAAAAGTGGCACTTTAGACACCAGCTCTTCATAGAGGTTTTCACTTGTCATTAAACTAGCAGTTCTGTCCCCTATAGAACAACGTTTTAACTGTTCCAATTCTTGTGAAAACTTCAAGACCTGTAAAGTTAAGTGAAAAAGCAAATGTTCTATTTTGCAGACTCTTACGTATGACTGTAAAAAAAGTATACTAACTCCACCAAATGTTTCATTACTGCCTTAAGCTATCTAAACTGGTGCCCTACCACAAATCTTATTACAATTTAAATACTTTTCAGGTGTCATATAACTTAATACATGTTTACAGTAGACATAAGGGCATGTAACACCATGATTTAACCAACTAACCAACCAAACAAAGAAATAAATAAACAGGTATTTTGGTCTTCAATGTTGGCATTTCAGATTGCTGTTTATAACTGGGTTCTATCTTTAAACAGAAACAAAGAAATAAAAGGCAACAAAACTCCCATGACCCCTGGTATTTAACATGCTTACTATACACATTTGAGCTGGGCGGTGGTGGCAAATGCCTTTTAACTCAACACTGGAAAGGCAGAGGCAGAGGCAGGTGGATTTTTGTGAGTTCAAGGACAGCCTGGTCTACAAACTGAGTTCCAGGACAGCCAGGGCTACAGAGAAGCCCTGTCTTGAAAAACCAAAAAACAACCATATACTTTCATCCCCAAGTTTTGCTTGTGCTTCATTGATTCATAAAAGCAGTAACATATTGCCTTAAGAAAGTATTAGAAGGCTACCAGCACATTATAGAAGGGACATTTCTTCCAGTCTGACCTTATTTATTTGAAAGCACTAGAACCTCTAAAGGTTTTGGGCACTGTAGTGGCTCCCAAATGTCAGCCTATCTGACAGTTTATTCAAAAGGCTCTTTTGTGGCCCACCCTCAGAGTCTGATGGGAAATGAGAATCTGTGTAAGTTTCCTAGGGCAATCTGGTGCATTCGGGTGTTGTGAGGGATACTGTGTTGTGGGATATGGTAAAATATTCATTTTGTTTGTTTTCTTTTAGAGGATTTTGCAGGTTTCCTGTCCTCAGTGGTGGCTCGTTGTATATTCACACGGAATCCAAGCAGACCTCCTTCTAGTAGAGAGGCTGGTTGGGAAACAAAGATGGTTCACAACACAGTCCTGAATTAGAGCAAACGGCTGCTTGTCTGACAATGCAAAGCTCCTGCAGTAACTGCTTGATTCCAAGAGCAACAGAATTGAATACAAGGCTTGATTTCAGTGTACTTCAAGTGATCTCCTGTGACTTTTCATTCCTCTCAAGAGAAACTATGGAGTGCAGTATAGACCACAGTCCACATATCTCTCCCAAGGGCTGCTACTTTCCAGTGAAGGTGGGCCTTGAACCTTGGAAGATGGGAAGCTATATGTGGCTTATTTGAAGCTTGGGAAGCATGTGTATGGTCAAAGACAGACATACCAACTGACTCAAGTTGCTCTGAAGAGAGAGAAGGCCACAACATGAGGATCTGAGGAAACAGGGAGCCAGGCAATGGGGAGAGTCTCAGAAGATGTTTTCCTAATGAGTGTGCAATATTGTTATTATTATTATGATGATGATGATGTTGCTTTTCAAGACAGGGTTTCTCTGTGGTTTTGGAGGCTGTCCTGGAACTAGCTTTTGTAGACCAGGCTGGTCTCAAACTCACAGAGACCCGCCTGCCTCTGCCTTCCGAGAGCTGGGACTAAGGGCGTGTGCCACCACCGCCTGGCAAGTGTACATTATTTTGAAAGCAGGAAAATAAATTCCAAAATGCTACTTTGCAGTTATTCTGAAAATGCAAACATTAGATAATGAGAATAAATTTTAGTTTTTAAAGAATAGCAGACTGCAGAACTTGGGTTGAACACTCTAGCAAACTGAAAACAATAGTAACACAAACACCTAGTATTTTCTGGGTCTTCTGGAATCACACACAACAAAGTTGGGACATCTCTTAAGCAGTTGGAAGCTTCCTCTTTTTATGTGTATATATGTGCATGTACATTCAGCTGCCTGGGTGATGCACAAAAGGAAATCAGATCCCCTGGAGCTTGATGTGGGTGCTGGGAACCAAGCTGGTGTCCTCTGCAGGAGCAATAGGTGCTCTTAACCACTGAGCCTTTTCTCCAGCCCTAAAAGGTTGCTATTTATCATGAAGAAAGTTAATCCCATTGGCCCTTCTGGGGGATAAACAGTGTGTGAAATGACAAGCTTCCATTTGATCTAATCACCAGCCACATTTAAACACCAAAGAACTAAGCTGAGTGCTCCACTCTGAGACCTTAGGGTCAGACAGGAAGAACACAAGCTGAGAAACGCCACACCACACACAGTTTGGCAGGAGTTCAATCGCCCAAGACCCCCAGGCTCTTTGTATAAACTGAATGAGCTGGCCGATAAGATCGGCCTGTTTCTGCTACAGATTTCTGTGACATGAGTCTAGATGTGATCCAGACAAGTTTGTGAAATAAAGAAGCTTTGGCAAATCTATAAGGCACAGCCCACCTTCTCCTGAGCCGGGTTCCTTTAAGTCTAGAGCCCCGCATGTCTCGAAGAGAAGCCCCAGGGTTGGTCAAGATGCAAAGGCTCAGAACAAAAGCTTTTCATGAGAAATAGTTTGATGTGCAGGAATGTGATGTCCCAAAGAAGCTATCCATGAGATGGCCATCATTGCAAAGGGAAATGCAATAAACTTTACAGTAGAAAGATACAACAGAGAGCATCACAAACAAACCACGATTAGCACAATGACAACATAGCTTGAGTCTCCCAATAAAATATGTCAGGATGGAGACGACATTTCCACAGGATTCTTGTCTAGAACAAGCAACTTGCATTGTACTGTGGGAAGCACCAGACAAACTCAAACTGAGGGACTTTCTCCCAAATAACAGGCTGTAATTCTTTTAATATCCTAAATGGAAAGTGAAACCTGGAACTGGAGAGATGGCTCAGCGGAAAAGAGCCCAGGCTGCTCTTTCCTTTCAGAGGTCCTGAGTTCAATTCCCAGAAACCACATGGTGGCTCACAACCATATAGGATGGGATTTGATGCCCTCTCCTGGCATGCAGAGCACTCAAAATAAATAAAAATGTAATAAAATGAAACCCTCACCCCCAGATGGTTTCAGGAGGAGACCTTAGGAAGCAGCTGGGACATAAGGGCAGAGCTCTCATGATGACATTGCTACCCCTTTGAGGACCATGTGGGCTGGGGAGATGGTTCAAGGGGTAAAGCATTTGAAGTGAAAGTATAGGACCTGAGTTTGGATCCCCAGAACCCATGTAAAGCCAGGTGCAATAGGGGAGGGGCCAAGGGTAGGTGGAGAGTGGAGGTGGGTGTAGAAGCCCAGCATTCCTACAACATGATGAGGGCAGAGCTAAGAGACACAAAGCTTACAGACCAAGTAGTAACAAAGAATAAGGAACCATAACTCAAGGCCAGCTGAGGTTGATCCTACACATGCTGTGGCACGAGCATGTCCACACGAACATTCATGTGCACACACATATCATAGAGGAGGAGGAGGAGGAGGAGGAGGAAAGAACCAGCGGAAGATGGCCATCTGCAAACTGGAAAGCAGGCTTCACCAAATGGGGATCTATTGTTGCAGAGCTGTGCACAATAAATGCTTGTCATTTAAACTGTCCAGCCTATGCTACTCTGTTAAAGCTGCCAAACTAAGAAAACATCACAGACAGACAACTCCTGTTCAGATTCAAGGACTTAAAAACCATTAAGTGATGGGGGATGTCCTTCTGTATGCTGTGACTGTATGTTTCTCTTATTGACTGACGAATAAATGCTGATTGGCCAGTAGCCAGGCAGGAAGGGGCTACTAGGCTAGGAAAATTTAGGGCAGAGGAAAGGCAGGGAGCAGACCAGAAAGAGACGCCATGTAGATGCCAAAGGAGTAACATACCAGAGCATTATAGGTAAGCCATAGCCACATGGCAATACATAGTTTAATAGAAATGGGTTAATAATTAAGAGAGAGCTAGCCAAACAGAAGTCTGAGCCATTAGCCAAACAATTTATAATTAATGTAAGTCTCTGTGTGTTTATTTGGGACTGAATGGCTACAATTAAGTGATTTTATATTGCATCTTAGACTAGACATGTTTTGAGTTGTTATTCTCCTCCTGCTCATCTTCTCATCTATCAATATCTCCTCTTCTTCCTCCTCCTCTTCATCTCCTTCTCCAGTTATCTCCCCCTACTCTTCATTTCCTCCTCCCTCTTCTTGATTTTTGTTAAGGAGTGGGATTGACTACTTGGCCTGTTGATGAATCGATTCATCTTGCTAATAATGTCCCACAAGCAAAGACTAGTTGTAGACCATTCTCCACACATCTCCTTAGATTCTGAATCTTTCTTCCCTACATTCCATACTGTAAAATTCACACTCTAGAAATTCAGTTGATAGGAAGCTGATTTAAGGTCAGACATTCACAGGAGATTGAAGTCTAAATGTTTGCCTTGACTTATAACCCATACTATATGTCATTTCATTATATGGTAGTAGAAGAAACTTATTTCTAAATCTGCTACCTGAAGGTTCCTTTTATTTTATCCATACACAAGACATATTAACTATTGCACACCCGAATAACCAATAATTCAATCTCACCTTGGCTTCTAATTCAGAATTCTCTCTTTGTAGCAGGTTATATGTTATTAAAAACTGGTCTCTGCCCTCAGCCCTTGGAAGACTTTGAATTTCCTTATAAAGGCACAAGAGTTCTGATTTTGATTTTTGGAATTCCTGTTTAAGAAATGAAGATTTTTTTATGATAAAAGATATTTAAATCTAAAATTGTTTTAATAATAAAGATTTTTTAAAAATAAAAAACAAAAATAAGTGTTTAAAAATAAAAAGAAGCCAGGTGTTGGTGGCTCACGCCTTTAATCCCAGCACTTGGGAAGCAGAGGCAGAGGGATCTCTGTAAGTTCAAGGCCAGTCTGGTCTACAGAGCTAGTTCCAGGATAGCCTCCAAAGCAATACTGAGAAACCCTGTCTTGAAAAACCAAAAATAAATAAATAAAAATGAAAAAGAAAGATATTTTGTAGGATAAATCAAAGGAATACAATTGCAAAGGAATACAATTTTAAAAAGGATTTTTTAAATGGTCCTAACAAATTGTTCAATGCTACATGTTACTAGATACAGTATTTCAGTGTTTACCTTTTATAGGTTGAAAGATTGGATGTCTACAGTCATTACTATCTTAAACAAACCTTGAATAAAAATCTTTATTAGCTCCTGAATTAAATATTTGCCTTAAAAATACAGGGCTGTCAGGATGGCTCGGCTGAACGAGCTTGCCACGCTAGCCCGGTGATCTAATTTGATCCCTGGAATCCAGGCAAAGGTAAAAGGAGAAAACTGGCTCCACACAGTTGTCCCCTGGCCTCAACACTTGTGCTGGGGCAATGTATTATTTCCCTAGCCATATATACATACACAACAATAGTAATAAATTTAAAACTGATCTCACAGCGCCTTTCATAGAACATTGTGCTATAGAGTGGTATAGCTTTAATCTGCACCCTGGCAAGGCTACTTCTGAAACTAGGGCTGGGCAGAGTGCCAGAACTTAGTTTCATGTAGCCAGAAAACTGTGAAGCTGATTGCATGCCTGTCTGACTTAAGACTCTGCCCTTACTAAAGATGCTGCTGCTATATGACAATGTGTGTGCAATGACTCATGAGCCAGCAGTTCCTGTAATCCTCAGATTATCTGTTTCTACTCAGTTCATGTGCAGTTATACATCATTCTCACACATTCACACAGATCACACAGTGCAGGGTTTGATGGGGGATGATGAGGGAATGGCAGTTTGCAGTACCCAGTAGCCAAGAGGTCATGTGACACTTACTTTAGGAGAGGGGCTACTTGATGTCTTCTGAAAGCTTTGAAGTCAGAGGAATGGAAGGTGGGGGTGGGGCTGTAAAAAGGCAGCAAAGGGGAGGGGGGGGGCTCCTAAATCCAGCCTGAATGGGAACAGAAGGGTGAGGCCCTAGTCTGACCCATTTAAGCCCTTGTAAGAAGAGACACATTGGTACATTACTATTGTTTAAGCCACAAGCCAATGGTACTGAATGAGAGCACCCCAAGTTAAGTTATATTTTCTTTATTGTGCTGCCTGAGAGTGTAGTATGGGTGTGTGAAGGAGGAAGATGGAGGTCTTCCTCTGTGACTCTCGGCCTGTTTCTTTGAGGCAGGGTCTCTCCCACTGAATGGGAAACTTTGCTGTTTCTGCTCGGTTGGCTGGCCAGCGACCTCTGTGCCCCAGTGCTGAGGTTTCAGACACACACAGTCATGCCTAACTTTTTACATGGTGCTGGGGATTCAAATTCAGGTCCTCATGCTTGCCAAGCAAGTGCTCTTACCTACTGAGCTGTGTCCTCAAGGGCATACCTTGTTTTAAAATAGAGACAAATGGTCACATGAAATCCCTAAATTGGAAGAACGTGGTACCTCAGTATCCACTCTCAAGGACTCCTGAATACCAATGAAAGCAGATGCCAGGTGCTGTTGTCTCTCTCTCTCTTCTGACAAGTCACTCTCAGGTACTTTAACATTTTCTTGGCTCATTTTCAGTATCTGTAAAAAGCATTTTGCATAACTCACTTTGTGACCTATTATACAATCGTACTGTTACCTGTAAAATTTGATAACAATAACCTCCTGCTTAACTTAATGACAAAGTCATGTGTGTGGTATAGAAACTATATAGTTCATAGGACACATTTTTTTGTCTCCAGGCCGGTTAATGTAATTACTACATGTAGTAAGCCTTGTCCTGCCTATAGCATAGATATCACGGCAGGTGTAATATGTGGTTTTGAAGACATTTTATGAATGTTAATCATGCACTAAATATATTTAAATTGTTACTTATTTAGTTGGAGGGAGAACACACATCATAATGTTTGTTAGAGGACAATTTCTAAGAGTTAGTTTTCTCCTTTCACCATGTGGGTCCCAGGAATTGAACTCAGGTTGTCAGGTGTGGCAGCAAGCACCTTTACCCACTAAGCCAGTGGTTCTCAACCTGTGGGTCTACTCCCAAAGGAGGTCATGAATGACCCTTCCACAGGGGTGACCCAAGACCATCCTACATAGCATATATTTACATTAAAAATCATGACAGTAGTAAAATTACAGTTATGAAGTTATAATAAAAATAATTTTATGGTTGGATGTCACCACAACATTAGGAAGCTTGAGAACCACTGCCCTAAGCCATTTCCCCAGGCTTACTCCAAATGTAGGATAATGACAGAATCTTCCCAAATGAAATGCTAATGACAATTGGGGTAATAATTATAACAGCTGCCATCACAGAATGGGAAAAGATATTCATCAATCCCACATTTGATAGAGGGCTGATCTCCAAAATATACAAAGAACTCAAGAAACTAGTTACCAAAACACCAAATAATCCAATTAAAAAGTGGGGTACAGAACTAAGTAGAGAATTCCCAATAGAGGAATCCAAAATGGCTGAAAGACACATAAGAAAGTGCTCAGCATCCTTAGCCATCAGCGAAATGCAAATCAAGGCAACTCCGAGATACCACCTTACTCCTGTCAGAATGGCTAAAATCAAAGACACCAAAGACAGCTTATGCTGGAGAGGATGTGGAGAAGGGGGAACACTCCTCCATTTCTGGTGGGAGTACAAAATCGTACAGCCACTTTGAAAATAAGTATGGTGGTTCCTCAGGAAAATGACAATCAGTTTACCTCAAGACCCAGCAATTCCACTCTTAGGCATATACCCAAAAGATGCACACTCATACAACAAGGACATCTATTTAACTATGTTTATAGCAGCATTATTTGTAATAGCCAGAACATGGAAGCAACCTAAATGCTCCTCAACTGAAGAATGGAAGAAGAAAATGTGGTACATTTACACAATGGAGTACCACTCAGCGGGAAAAAATAATGGTATCTTGAAATCTGGAGGAAACTAGAAGAAACCATTCTGAGTGAGGTAACCCAGTCACAAAAAGATAAACACGGTATGTACTCTCTCATATATGGATTTTAGACATAGAGCAAAGGATTACCAGCCTACAATTCACACTGCCAGAAAAGCTAGGAAACAAGGAGGACCCTAAGAGAGGCATACATGGTTTCCTGGAGAAGGAGAAAGGGAGAATTGGGAGCATGAGAGGAGGGGAGAGGGAGTTAGGAGGAAGAGCAGGGGCATGAGGGAGCAGGAAGATTGAGTTAGGGAAAGAATAGAGGAGAGCAAGAAAGAGATACCATAATAGAGGGAGCCATTATAGATTTAAAGAGAAATCTGGTACCAGGGAAATGTCCAGAGATCTACAAGGATGACCCCCAACTAAGAATCTAAGCAATACTGGAGAGGCTACCCCTTAAATGCCCTTCCGCAATAATGAGATTGATGACTATCCTATATGCCATCCTAGAGTCTTATTCCAGTAGCTGATGGAAGCAGAAGCAGACAGCCACAGCTAAACACTGAGCTGAACTCCTGGAATCCAGTTGCAGAGAGGGAGGAGTGGTAAGAAAAGGGGTCAAGACCAGGCTGGAGAAACCCACATTGTTCCTGAAGGATCACTATGGGATAGAAATATAACTATCATCACATCCCCCCCCCCAAACAGGAGCTATGTCTCAGATGTTACATCATTTCCTAAGGTCATACAGCTATTGCTGGCTGTCACGTCCACATCTCACAAGCACTGACTTCTAATATCTATTCCACACAGCCACATCCACGTACACTTTATGTTGTGTATAAAACCTACTTGGGAATGTGCCTAAAACCAAAACATGTCTTAGTGAGCACAGAGGGAGAATCCCCGTGACATAGGATTCTTCCATGGGAAGGACAGGCTGTCAAGGGCAAACACACCTGGTCGGGCAGAGTCACACTGCCTGTGTTTTAGCACCAATGGTATAAAAGCTAGTCATTTCATCACTCTTAGCCTCAGTTTCCCCTGATGAAAACCAGGGACAGCAGCGTGTGGACATCCACGGACACTTCTCAGAGACAGTGAGTCATATTGTTCTGAACTCTCACCAATCTAGGTGAAGCAGTGAACTTAATCATCCCGTGGTCCCCACAGCTTCATGACTTCCTCTCAGAGGACTTCTGCAAACTCATCTCATCTCAAACAGGCTGGAGATGGACCAAACCCAGAGCCGCGCTTTCTCCCTTTGCCTGAGTGCAGTGTTTGGAGCATTCTCATGTGGTTTGCCTCACATTTATTAAGAAATATAAATGAAGAATTATCTTTCCAAGTATGGTGCAGGGGGTGGAAGCGGCAGGATTAGGAATTCAAGGGTAGCCTTGGTTGCATAGTGAGTTTGTAGCCATCCTAGCTCTATAAATCCTGTCTCAGAGTATCATCTTTTATTTTCATTTCTTACCTCATTAAAACCTTGTACTTTAATTGCCTCTTGGTCTTTCATACTGGTGTCTTCAGTCTTCCTATGATACTGATACCTCAGGCTCTCAGATGGAAATCTCAATCCAAATAAATCACCAGTTAAAACACACAAGTGTTACTAAAATATCCTTTGAATAAGCTACATTTATTTAAATTAATTTTACATTTTTATTATTAGTGTGTGTGTGTGTGTGTGTGTGTGTTCGTGCATGTGTGGGCACACTTTCGCAATGGTGCATTTGTGCAGGTCAGAGAACACTTTTGTGGAGTCTATTTCCTCCTTTTACCTTTTGTGGTTCCAGAGATTGATCTCAAGTCTCCAAGTTTGTACAGAAAGCACCTGTACTCACTAGTCCATCTTGCCAGGCCCCCAAATAGGCTACATTTATTTTCTTTAAAAGACATGCTTATTTTTGTCTGGTGTATGAGTGCTTGCCTTTATGCATAAATATGCACCACCAGCCAGAAGAGGGTGTCAGATCTCTTGGAACCCAAATTACAGATGATTTGGAGCTGCTATGTGATAGCTGGGAATTGGCCCTGGATTCTCTGCAAGAGGAGTAAACACCATTTCTCTTGTATTTTCTTACTATTAGAATGTCATCCTGAACAAAACCACTAGTAGACACGCTAACACAGATGGGGGAAAAGATCTGGAGGCCTCAACCTTAGACAAAGAACTACAGGCAACCAAAGAATGCGAAGAGCAGAGAAACAGTCTTCCCAAGGAAGAGCCACCAAATGGTTATCCAATACCAAGTGGTCAGCCCTGAAAACACACACATAACAGTACATTCCCAGCCCCCTCCCAGTGTGTGTGTGTGTGTGTGTGTGATAAAAAAGAGGCCATGAACTTGAAAGAAAGCATGGTGGGGAGGTATACATGGGAGGTTTTGGAGAAAGAAAAAGGAAAAAAATGATGTAATTATAACCTCAAAAATCATTTAAGATTTTCAAAAACGATAAGCAAAAAGAAGAAGGTTATGTATTTTAACTTTTTTTTTTTTTTTTGAGATAGAGTCTCACTATGTATCTTTGGCTGTCTGATCTCACTATGTAAACCAAGCTGGCTTTCCACTCACAGAGATCTGCTTGCCTTTGGTTTCCAAAGCCAGGATTAAAGGTGTGTACTATCACAACTGGCTATTTATAAGATCAATTATAGTGTTTAAGATAGCCTTTTCAAATAATATATTTGAAGACTGAAAAAATAAAATAATGTATACTTAATATAAAACACAGCTTACTGTATATTTGAAAAATAATGTATTTGAAAGCATTTCAATATTTCTCACAAAATGTCCGTAAAATTTACCATAACTAGTGACACACTGAATACAATTATGCATCTGAGCAATTACATACTTCATAAGACCAATGACCAAAGTTTGAAGCTGGAAATGGATGCTATTGACGAGCTCTCTGGTGCCTAAAGGGAGCTGACCTCACCTGTCAGTCAGCAAATGAAGAGGAAAGCCAGTGACTTGTTGTAGGTTGCCTCCTGCATAAGGGCCAGCTGCCAAGGACCTTGAGAAACAGTTTAACGGCTCAGAACACAGCACTGTTAATATTCTGTCTGGAAGGCGGGGCTCACTAATGCTCTGAATTTAACCTTGCCTCCTGGGCGCATACTGACAAGCAGCTCTCCATGCTGTCACCTCTCTCAGTCACAGATGGCTAAGGCATTGTAGAGGATGAAACACTGCCCATTCATCTCTATGTGGTGTGGCTTCTGTACACATCATCGGGTATGCTATGACCTCTGTAGGTTAGAAGTAATTCTCTATATAAACTCTATAAATCTCCACAAGAGTTGATACTGTGTAGAAAATGAACTCCAGGGGCTGGAGAGGTAGCTCAGAGGGTAATAGCACTAAATGCTCTTCCAAAGGACCCAGATTCAATTCCCAGCACCCACATGGCAGTTCACAACTGTCTGTAATACCTGTTCCAGGGAATCTGACACCCTCACACACAGAAACATACATGCAGACAAAACCCCAAAATACATCTTTAAAAAAAAAGGAAAGAAAAAGAAAAAAGAAAATGAAATCAGATAAACCTGTACCAACTCCTGGATGATTCTTGCTTTGGTCAAATCCCCTAAACTCTCAAAAATATTCAGTGGGAATACTTGTGTCTGCTTTGGGGAGGTCTGCCCCAGGGGGTCATGTGAGCTGCTGTTTGGGAGATTTACCCTCATCATGGTGCTCGAAAAACATTTAAAATACTGTGGCTATTGTCATCCTTGACAAATAGCTCAATTTCTCCTTAAAAAAAAAAAATTCATTCCATGTTTCTATTTTGTGTCTAGGGGTAGACTGTGCATGCCACCATCTGTGGAGGGTGGAGGAGAACTTGTGGAAATCAGTTCTCTCCTTCAAGTGTATCCTGGGGACAAAACTCAGGTCTTCATGCAGACAGCGACAGACATCTGCTTACTGATGAGCCTGGTGACATTTAGAGACAGTATCCTGCTTTTAGGTGTCTAAGAAAAGGAAGTGATTTTTCTGGATTATTTGTTTAAACAACAAAGAATGACCTGCACGTTTTTATTTTCTAGGGGATTCTTCAGGGCAAATCTGCTACAGGGCACCCAGAGATGAAGGCTCTGTGACTGGTGTGGAGCTGGAGCAGGAGCGGGAGTTTTGCTTGTGTAGTAGTAACTGGGCTTGAGAGATTCAGGGGAAAACCTACAGGCTTACCAGGCATTGGTGGCCTTTAATCCCAACACTCGGGAGGCAGAGGCAGGCGGATCTCTGTGAGTTTGAGGCCAGCCTGGTCTCAGAGCTAGTTCCAGTACAGTCTCCAAAGCAATACAGAGAAACCCTGTCTTGAACAAAACAAAAACAAAAACAAACAAACAAACAAACAAAAAAAACCACAGGCTCTGTGGTCAGGCTGAGCTGTGGCACCATGGTTTTTACAGTTATGAATGTGTGACCTTGGTTCCCTCTGCCAGGAGAATTTCTGTTAGCATTTTGTGAATTCTGTCCTCTGAGCACGGTAGTCTGCAACTACAATCCCAGCTTTTGGGAGACTGGAGCAGGAGGGCAGCAAATTTGGGGCCAGCATAGGCTGCAGGGAGGGACCTTGTCTCAAACAAACAAACAAACAAACAAACAAACAAACAAACAAACAGTAACATAACATGACTGCTGCTATGCTTCCCTCAGTCTGCAGATTCAAACGTTCATCTATTTTGCAAAGGTTCTCAGACACACTTAGGGATATCTGATGCCCATTGAAGCTGACATAAAATGAACCTGGCACTATCCTTTTACTTCCTTTTGTCAGAAAATACAATAAGCAGTGGTCTGGAGAGACTGCCCAAAAGCAGGCTGAGAGCATCCACTACAGGGATGGAGGGCACCAGGTCAAGGTTGAGAAACAGGCTCATGGGAAACAGCTGTGCTGACCTGCTGAGCATAACACTCAGCTCCCTCAGTTCCTCAGCTGACAGTGATCCTGGGGTTAACAGTTACTGGTAACTCATCACCTGGCTGACAACCTCAGTTAAGGTAGTTGTAGCCTTTTCTTTGTAAAAGAACTTGGGAGGCAATAAATAAATAAATAAATAATTTAAAAAATCCATTTTCAGTTACTACCCTTCTTCAGAAACTACCTTTAAAAAATTCCTTTAACTCACACTGATCACTGATCAAGGATAATATTTCCTAGGTTTTGATGGGTCTCATTATGTGATGGACATCTATAATCCCAGCACTCATGGAGCAGAGGCAGGAGGCTAAATTCAAGGCTAGCCTGGCCTACCTGGTAAGCTCCAGGTCAGCCTGAACTAGAGAGACCCTGCCTCTCTCTTGTCTACATATTGATGGGGGTTGTCCTTCTGTATATATATTTCTCTTATTGGTTAATGAGTAAAATACAGTTCAGCCAAAGAGGCAGGAAGATAGGTGGGGCTAGGAGACAAGGAGAATTCTGGGAAAGGTAGGCAGAATGGGCCCACCAGACAGAATCACCATATAACCCACCAAAGGTGTAAGAAGTCTGGGCCCTTCAGTAAGATAAGACCACATGGAAATAGATTAAATAGAAATGGGCTAATAATTAAGACAGAACTAGCTAATAAGAAGCTCTAGTCATTAGCCAATAGCTTTATAATTAATATAGCATCTGTGTGTTTACTTGGGACTAAGAAGGGCAACTGGGACCGGCCAGGACAAAGAACCACTCATTACAACATATCATATGCTATTATCTACATAGTTAACACTCTATGTAATTATAGGCTAATATATGTATGTGAATATATTAATCACTTGAATAAGAATATTTATCTGCAATGCTTTTCACAAGTGTGCTCCAGCATGTGGGTGAAATGCATCTTGTAATTTTATAAGTACGTATCTATTTCAAGTTTCGATAAGAAAACGAAATCTGGTTTATACTATTATCTAGAAGACTGCTGAGTCCTGGGGAGACTGAGAAGGTCACATGACACCTGTCACAGCGGGAGGCAGATTAGGCTGGTATCACCAAGGGTCTTCTCCCAGATCAAGAATTCTATGATGCAGAGCACCACACAGGGGTGGACAATTGATAGCCACACTTCAGGGGATACCTGAGCAAGATGAGGCCTCCCTACCCCTGGGGTTCCTCCACAGGTTATGACTGTGGCAGAATTCTTGTCTGGCTGAGACAGTCTCAGCTACAACAGAGTCTTAGCCTTGTCCTGCCCTGTCATCTTAAGGGATGTCGAACCCGCATCTGATCTGAAAGCTCTCCCTGCCTGGACCTGCTCTTCAGAGACCCTTCACTGTGCTTCCTTAATAACACTTGTGATTTTGAATTCATCTTGGGACCTGCCTCCTAGATTAGCCTTCTTCCTATGGATGATGGGAAGGAGGCTGCCATTGTGGTCACCACCATAGACAAAAGAAAATAACCGGATCAAAAACGAAATCATTTTTGGGTTGCAGAGATGGCTCATAGTTAAGAGCACATAGGTGTTGCTCTTATCCAGTATCCACACGGTAGCTCACAACCATCAGGAACTCCAGTTCCAGGGGATCCAATGCCCTCTTCTGACCTCTGTGGGCACCAGACACTCATGTGGTGCACATACATACATGTAGGCACAATACACATACACATAAAAATAAATAAATCTAAAAAGAAATAAAGTGAAGGCATTTCAGCCATTACTGCATAACTGAAGGCTTGAGGAAACACTTTTGTGTTGGGAGGCAACTTAAAAGTATACTTCTTCTAAAGCCTGATAAATTTATTCTACATTTCATCTTCACATGAAAGAACAGAGAAAATAGGGCAGAAAGATTAGATACAAAAATTATTATCTGACTGCCAGTGGTGGCGCATGCCTTTAGTCCCAGCACTCTGGAGGCAGAGGCATCACTCATACAGTGATGGGGCCGGAGAGATGTCTCAGTGGTTAAGAGAACCTACTGCTCCTGCACAGGATCTGATCCAGTACCCAGCACCCACACATGTGACTCACAACTGCCTAAACTCTAGCTTCAGGTGATCCAACACCTCTAGTCTCTATCAGTACCTTACTCATGTGAGCATACAACCCACAGACACATATAATTAAAAATACATCTTTAAAAGCTGGGCAGTGGTGGTACATGCCTTTAATCCCAGTAATCAGGAGGCAGATGCAGGCAGGTCTCTGAGTTTGAGGCCAGCCTGATCTACAAAGTGAGTTCTAGGACAGCCAGGTGTACATAGGGAAACCCTGTCTTGAAAAACAAAGACAAAAGCCGGGCATTGGTGGTGCATGCCTTTAGTCCCAGCACTTGGGAGGCAGAGGCAGGCAGATCTCTGAGTTCAAGACCAGCCTGGTCTACAAGAGGTAGTTCCAGGAAAGTCTCCAAAGCCACAAAGAAACCCTGTTTCAAAAAACCAAAAATAAATAAATAAATAAGTCTCTTTAAAAAATCCTCAGTGATTCACACATATAATACTTTAATTATTTTGAACAAAATAATAACCTGTCAGGTATTTCCAGTCTCCTTTTTTCTTATTGGTTTGTTTGTGCAGCCACTCATTCATTCACTGAACAAATAATTACCAGCTGCAAATATGCATCGACATCGACTGAATCATAGCCCGGACTGTTAATGTTCTCAGTTACAGAGAAGGAAACTAAGGAGCAGGAGAAGCTATGTGTTCAGAGTCACATGTAAATGATAGAGCTAGGATTTGAACTCAGGCCACCTGAGGATGCTCTTGGTGTTTGGTTACTTTCATTTCTGTATTACAGTAGTGAACCCACATGGCAATTTATAATGATTTTCCTGCAGTGGATATGACGTTTTCTTCTGGCCTCCTCCGCACTACATGCATAGGATGCATAGATATACATTCAGGCAAAACATCCATACACATAAAAACAACAAAAATAAGAAATGCTGTTGGCATTTCTCCAACAGCAATGATGCTGCTATTCAGACAAGGGCTTAAAATGAAGCATAAGCACCGACAGTTTAGAGCACACTAGGTTAGATCACATCACCTCTGCACCCTGACGTGCAACCATTGTCAGAACCCTTTTTCCTAAAGACCAGATTAGATGAGGCATAGCCACGTGGCTCACACCACTGGTTGCTATTGGACACACACTAAACTCCAGGGACTAGGGCACACTGACCATTTCTCCAAGCACCTTTTTCTCAGAGTCAAGTGATCGAATCCGGTTTCTTAAGGCTAGAATCTCCTGGTCCAGCCTCTGGTTATGTTCTCTTGCTCTCAGTAAATCAGTTGCATCTAAATAGAGAAGAAGGCGGTTACTACCTGGGTCACAGTTTTGCTTTGGAAGGCATTCATTCTGCATATGTGGTTGTCTACATAGGAGAGCCACCAAGTCACAATATTCTACCAACCTATTGTAATGGAACAGAAGGTTTTGGATTTCTCACACAAGCCTAATGAACTTTTTGAGTATAGAGTTTCCAGGAATACAGAGTTCTGGGAACACGAAACATTTCTTTATTTTGTGTGTGTGGAATGCACACACATGTCAGAGGACGATTTGCTGGCATCAGGTCTCTCAACTTTATGGGTCCTGGGAACTGAATTCAGGTCATTGGGTTTGATAGCTTTAACCCATTGAACCATCTTAATGTCCCCAGAGCTGAAATTTCATCTGGGTGTAAATTATTTATCTCAGACACATTATTTTTTATGACACTATTTTACTTATTTATTTTTATTTTATGTGCATTGTTGCTTTGCCTGCATGTATGTTTGTGTGAGGGTGTCAGATACCCTGGAATTGGAGATACAGACAATTGTGTATGTGGGAACTGGACCCAGGTCCTCTAGAAGAGCAGCCAGTACTCTTAACCACTGACCCATCTCTCCAGTCCCAGCTGGGTATAACTTTTGAAAATTAAATGACAGAGAATTTTCTTTAGCTCTGTCTCTTATACACCTTAGACATTTCTAGACTCCTCCACTTAGCAGTCTTATTAACAGCTTTGAGGAATTCACTAAAAATAACTATTTAAGCAATCAATTATTGGTGAGTACATTCAATTTGACCATCCAACAAGCTGTTTCCCATTCTTTGTCCTTTCCAAGTATTTCTACGTTCGTCTGAGATGTTTGATAGTCTCTGGTTTTGGTGGACAGTGACGCTGATCACTTAAAGTTTGGGAATTGTTCTCCATTCAATAACATTTTGGAAGTTTACATAAAAACAGTATTATTTATTCCTAACATATGTGTTAGATTCACTTGTGACGCTGCCTGACTCTGGAACTCTCTTCATAGAAGATTTCTAACTATAGATTCAATTTAATGCATTTAGGATTCCCTCCTCTTCCTTCTTCTCTTCTTCCTCTCTCCTCCTCCCCTCCTCTTCCTCTGACATGGTCTTACTAGGTAGCCCTGACTGGCTTGAAAGTCACAGCATAGACTATGCTGGCCTGAACCTTGCAACAGTTCTCTTGCCCCTGCCTTCTGTCTGTCTGTCTGTCTGTCTGTCTGTGTCTGTCTCTGTCTCTATCTATTTATCTATTTTTGTGTGTGAGTGTGTGTGTATGTATGTAGACAGAAGTTTCTGTCCTGCCGAGTTCTGCAGCCATTTAGTCCCAAATAAACACACAGAGGCTTATATTAATTATAAACTGTTTGGCTGGTGGTTTAGGCTTCTTGTTGGCTATCTCTCTCTTATTAGCCCATTTCTATTAATCTGTGTATCTCCACATGAACTTGGCTTACTGGTGATGCCCAGATCTCTTGCTCCCTCAGCATCTACATGGCATCTCTCTGGCGATTCACTTTCTCTGTGTCCCTCTTCCCAGAATTCTCCTAGTCTGGTAGTTCCACCTATACTTCCTGCTTGGCTACATCCTGCCTACCCATCGGCCAAAACAGCTTTATTCATCAACCAATAAGAGAAACATAATTCACAGAATACCAAAGGGCATCCCCATCATATATACAAGCATGTGCCTGTATATGTCAGTGCAGGAGTGCATGGCCCCAGCACCAGTGCAGGGGTAGGGGGTGGGGTGACACGACAGTTTTTTAGTAGTAAGTCCTCAGGTCCTCTCCTTCCACCTTGTTCTGGGTCAGGCTCACTTTCCTTGTCTCTGCTACTATACTATGCACTGTTCCACAAGCTTTCCACAAGCTTACGGATGTGTACCACTGCATCTGGCTTTGTTGTTGTTGTTTTGAGACAGGGTTTCCCTATGTAGCTTTGGAGTCTGTCCTGGAACTCCCTCTTGTAGACCAGACTTGTCTTGAACTCACAGAGATCTGCTTGCCTCCCAAGTGCTGGTATTAAAGGCGAGCACCACCATCACCCGGCCGAATCTTGCTTTTTAATTGTTATTTGGGTTCCCAGATTTTTGTGGCAAGTACTTTACCTCCTGAGCCATCTCTCTGGTCCTTAACTATCTATCTGTCTATCTATCTATCTATCTATCTATCTATCTATCTATCTATCTATCTATCTATTGAGACAGTCTATGTAGCCCTGGCTGTCCTGGAACTTTAATGTAGACCAGGCTGGCTTTGAACTCACAAAGATCCATTTGACTCTGCTTCCTGAGTGCTGGGATCAAGGGTGTGTGCCACCACCCTTAACTTGTCTCTCATGGGTGTGTGAAAAGTATGTGCACTCTAGTGTTTTCTATCAGTACCACCCAGGACTTTTGGCTGTAGTACCTTTGAGTCCTCTGCAGCTTTGCTGGCTTTATGAGTTACCTGATCTATGAGTTGCTGTAAGCACTTTTGAGTTAACAACCACATTCCTGTATTTTGAAAGGAAAGAATAACTAATTTTGGAATTATTTAAAATGGATAAAAAAAAAAATTCTGTAGAGCTAGGTGGGCGTCAGTGGCTCATGCCTTAAATCCCAGCACTTCAGGAGGTGGATCTCTGAGTTCGAGGCCAGGCTGGTCTAAGAATTTCAGGACAACCTCCAAAGCAATACAGAGAAACCATGACTCGAAAACAAAACAAAACACCAAAAAAATCAAAAACCCCATCCTGTAAATCATTTTGTGGTATGGCCATTGAAATATCCAAATTTTACAACGGCTGGTAGCATTATTAAATAGGCAAGGCAGTGTCAGATGACTTCATTCAACACCATTCCAAGACTGGCTTTTCAGGGACAAATATGAATGAGATATTACTGAATACACTGAAGGGCCCTTGGCTTCAGTGGTGCCAGTACAGTCTGAGTTCTTTGTCCTGGTGACAGTTTTGGAATCTGATTTATAAGGATTCACACATCAGCTATTTTTTTTATAGTTAATGGACAACTCAGTTAACCTTGCCATGACTCAGCATCCTTATCTATGAGATGGGAATAATCATATTCATTACCTGACCTGTTAGTCTTGAAGATGATCCATCCTTATCTATGAAATGGGGATAACTATATTCACTACCTGACTTGTTAGGAGCCTTAAAGATGATCATGAATAACTCCTGGCCAAGCAATTGATGCTCCATAAGTAGCAAGTGAGGGCAGGAAGAGTAGCAATGACTGTAAGAGTGATACTTGTGATTTTCATTATTAAAAACATTTTAAAGATTTACTTTATTATCTTATTTCTGTGTGAGTGTCTGCATGTCTGTGCACACATATAAAGTGTCCACAGAACCAGAAAAGGATGTCATATCCCCTGGTGCTGGAGTTACAGGAGTTGTGAGTTGCTCAATGTGTGTGCTAAAACCAAAGTCAGGGCCTCTACAAGAGCCTTAAGTGTTAACCTTGGAGCCACCCACCTTTTCAGCTCCTAAATAATATTTTAAACTATGCATATTATGTTACTGTGTGATCTATTATTACTATATATGCTAATGACTCACCACTTTCTTTTAGCTTTATCAGATTATTTTTCAGCTTTTCAATTTCCAGTCGAGCATTCTCAAGTGCATCATCTAAAATAAAACAAGAAGAAAACATATGTACGAAATGTAAATGAGGGGCTGGCGAGGTGGCTCAGCAGTTAAGAACACTGGCTGTTCTTCCAGAGAACTCAGGTTCCATTCCCACAAACCACAGTGCAACTGTCTGTAAGTTCAGGTCCAGGGGATCTGACACCCTCTTCCGGCCTCCTCAGGCACTGCACATTCAGGGTGCACAGACTTTCATCAGACAAGCACTCAAACACATAATCATAAATACCCTCTGTGGTGGTTTGAATAGAAATGGTCCATAGACTCTTGTGTTTGAGTGCTTGGCCTATAGGGAGTGGCACTATAAGGAGGTTGCCTTGTTGGAGTTGGTGTGGCCTTGTTGGAGGAAGGCTTTGAGCTCTCATATGCTCAAGCTAGTCCTAGTGTGGCTGTCTCCTTCTGCTGCCTGCAGATCAAGATGTAGAACTCTCAGCTCCTTCTCCAGCACCATGTCTGCCTGCATGCTGGAATGCTTCCCCTCAAGACAGATAATGGACTAAACCTCTGAACTGTAAGCCAACCCTAATTAAATATTTTCCTTTATAATAGAGTTGCCTTGGTCATGGTGTCTCTTCATTGCAAAAGAAATTCTAAGACATCCCCTAAAAGCAAATCAGCTAGGCATTGTGGTACACCAATTTAATCCCATCATCAGGTAGATCTCTAATAGTTCCAGCCTAGTCTACATAGAAAGACTTTGTCTCAAAACAAAAAGATAAAAAGAAGTAAGTGACTCATATAACAAATCCATACCTTTTTCTTTTCTTTGAACATCATCCATTGAGTTTCAACAGAAATGAAACCTATCTGGAAGCTTTCATGGGTTCCCTTCTAGTTTTCCTACTAAATCTCATATTTACTCCACAGATTCCTGAACTCAAACATTTTCTAACCACAATCTCTCTCTCTCTCTAAATATATATATATATATATATATATATATATATATATACACACACACACACACACACACACACACACACATACATATATATTTGTTTTGTTTTATTTTTTTATTTTTTTTGAGACAGGGTTTTTCTGTGTAACAGTCCTAGATTTCCTGGAACTCACCTTATAGACCACCAGGCTGGCCTTGAACTCAGAGACCCATCTGCCTCTGCCTCCCAAGTGCTTCGATTAAAAGTGGGCACCACCACACCTAGCCCTAACCTTATTATCTTTTAAGATTAAGTTCTGTGGGGCTTGGATCAGTTGGGTGTTTAAAGCATGCATAAAATAGTCCTGCCTCACTTAAGGATGGGGGAGTGTGTTCTGAGAAACTTGCAATTTTATCAGTGTACAAACATCATAGGGTTTATGATGGTTACGGTGCTATTAGATGATTTAATCTTGTGGAACCACTATTGTACATAGATTTCTAGCTGACCAAAATATTACTATGTGGTAAATGGACTATATTGAGAATTTTGCCAGTATTTGCTAGAAATGAAAATAACAAAATCTCAGGAGTAGTTTTTGGTACTGTGTTGGTCACTGTCCTCATCACTAGGATAAAAAGGAGAAAGGGTTGATTTGGGCTCAGTTGTAGGGTACAGACTATAATGGCAGAAAGAGCACGAAATCACATAGTACCCAAAGCCAGGAAGCAGATAGATGAACACTATGATTCAGTTCACTTTCTCCCTTTTCTTCAGTCCAGGATCTGGGTGCTGTTCACATTTAAGATGTGTCTTCCTACCTCTGTGGACCCAATGTAGAGACTAGATCACAGGGAAGCTCAGAGGGTTGTCGTCTAGGTGGTTCTAGTCTGTCAGGTTGACAGTATTAACCATCAGGGGTACAAAGGATTACACAAGAACAGTAGAAGGCACTGGAGTTGATGGAGGTTCACCTACTAGTTCAGGTTTTATCCCTTTGCTTCTTGTGGGTTCCTCACTATGATTGGTTGGCAGATTTCCTAAGCCATTAGAATGAAGGATCTGCTAACACTAAGTGGCAAACACTGAGGTTTATAAGAGAACACTCCTAATCACACCATGAGTGCATCACTCAATAGTGCAAAACTCAGATCTTCAGGGCAAATCCCACCATAACCCACCAGGTTCATAAGAAACTGTATTCTAATTATAGCAATACTACTTCTGTTGCTACAACCAGGGGCAACCAGGTATATAATTATGACAAATCTACAACATAGGTGCCCACATCCCAATTTATGGGTGAGATAAGCAAGTCAGAAAACCGGAGCAACCTGCTCAGTGCCAAAGGAAATAAATAGCATGGCAGGGATACAAACCCAGGGCTCTTTGCCAGAGATGGAGGTGGTTTCTGTGTCGCTAAAACAAGTTTTCCAAGGTACAGCTTGGGCAAACAGAGGAACTGAAGGTGGAAAGAATATCTGAGAAGAGAGCAGCATGAGAGATGGAGAGGAGGCAGGAAAAGCAGACGTAGGCAGGAGAGACACTAGGCCTTCTGGGAACTGCAGGGATCCAAAGCTGCTTGGGTCTGCAGAGCAAAGGGTGAGGGGGACTGTAGGGTCTGTGCTGTAGACAGACAGAAAAGCCTGTTTGCTCCCCCAATTTTAAGTGAACCAGGACTTCCAAAATGTTAAAAAGTTCTGAGGTACTCCAGATATTCAGAAAACTGTTGGCTTTCATTTTAATACCTGGGCGGTGGAAGCAGTGGTGACGACCACCTGTAACCCCAGCACCAGGAGGCAGAGGCAGGAGGATTCTAAGTTCGAAGCTAGCCTGGCCTACATAGTGAGGCTAGCCAAGGCTACAAAGTGAGATTCTGTCTCAAAAATAAAACCTGCTTTTAGAATGACACAGCCAAATATATTGTTTGCCCAATTTAAACATTAACGGAGAAACCAGTTCCCGAAGCTTGGTTGGTCAGACAGTGTCTCCTGCCGTGTTTGTGCAGAATTTGACAACTCTGGTTTTTCATTAGATTTAAATGAGTCACAATCCTAGCTGGTTTATAAATTTTCTCTTTTGAGATAAGTCAGAACAGAATTCACTCTGTTAACACTGTCCTTGAATTTATAACCTTCTGCCTCAGTCTCTCAAATGCTGGCACAAGCACGCACTACCATGCCGGGCTTAGTTACATTTTTAAGACCTTTCTACTGGATTCACAGTTGTACTTAAGTCCACTTTTTTAGTTACTACTCTAGATATGGTTGGTTTTGTTGTTGTTGTTATTGTTGTATTTTGTTTTTGTTTGTTTTGATAGGGGCTCTCTATTCTATCGCTTTGGCTGTATTGGCACTTGCTCTTGTAGACCAGGCTGGCATCAACCTCACAGGGATATGCCTTCGGATACCTCCTGAGTGCTGGGATTAAAGACGCGCACCACCACGGCCTGCTAGAGCATGGGCATAAGGGTGGTTTTTTGGGGGGGGAGCATGAAAATAATTTATTTAATATTTTACCAAGATTACTAGCAACAAAAGAATAAAAATTTAAGTTGAGTTGAATAAATTGAAAACATTTTGCCCATCAAAGGACACTGCAAACAAAGGGAAGATCTGTGAAAAGTGTTGAAGAATATTCTTGGTGTCATACAAAGTGACAAGACATGTGAACAATGCAAAAGGAACTCCACAATGATTCAAGGGGCACACTTGGTCAGGAGGTCCTGAGCATTCATTCTGAGGCAGGGTGGTGGGGGTGTTTCATTCTATGATCTCACTATCTGATGTGATGGGCTCTTTCATAATGGTGCAGGTGTAGGGTGTGACCATCAATCTCAGGAATGTCTGGTATTTGAGGGTTGGATGAACAGGCATGGTTTCACAAGATGAGGGAGATTTGTGGAATAGTAGGTTTTGGCAGGCTGGCCACATTTGCTAGAAAAGACTGTTCACAATTCAAAGGCGGGAATATTTGAAAATCACCCGTCTCGTTATGAGATTAATATCCAGAATGTTAACACTAGTAACCCTACAGTTAAAGAACAGAAATATTCTATACCTATAATCCCAGAACTTTGGGAAGCAGAGGTAGGTAGATTTCTGAATTCCACGTCAGCCTGAAGTAAGGAGTGAGTTCCAGAACAGCCCGGGCTACACAGAGTATCTATCCCTGTCTCAGTCCTCCCCAACCCCCCCCCCCCGAAAAAGAAATCTCACTGTTAAAAATACAGCAATGGCTGGCTGAGTGTGGTGGTGGCATATGCCTTTGATCCCAGACTAGAGAGGCAGAGGCAGGCAGATATCTAATTCAAGGACAGCCTGGTACACAGCAAATTCCAGGCCAGCCAGAGTTACACAGTGAGACCTGGTCTCAAAAAATAAATAAATAGGGGGGTTAAGAGATAATTGGGGGTGGAGAGATGGCTCATTGGTTAAGAGAACTGGCCCTCTTCCAGAGGACATGAGTTTGATTCTCAGCACTCACATGGTGGCTCACAACTGTCCATTAACGTCCGTTCTAGGGGATTTGATACCCTCTTCTGGTCTCCATGGACATATATATAGAAATATGTGCAGGCAAAATACCCAAATACAGAAAATAATAAAATAAAATTGAAAAATATCAATGAAAGCTAGTTACAAAAAGTATTGAACAGACATTTTTCATTTGTACATAGTTAATAAATACATAAAATATACTAGTCATAGGGAAGTAGAAATCAAAATCATAAAAATCATAGTTAAACAAAACTCTATGCCCATTATGATTGTCATTTGAGTAAAAAAAAAAAACTCTGAAAAACAGCAAGAGTTAGCTTATCTTGCAGTAAAATAGAATGAAGCAGTTATACCTGATTTGTGGTTGAATCTCAAAATTGTGTTAAGTGAAAGAAAACAGATACAAACTCATATATGCTTCTAGTTATAAGAAATGTCCAGAAAAGGCAACTCTAGAGACAGATAAGTTCTCACCTAAACTGGATTTGATAAATAGAGTTCCATTTGGCAAAACCAAAAGCAAGCCTAAACATCCATAGTCAATAAAAAGGCATGTCTTCAGAAGGAAGGCTTCTTGAAAGCCAAGAAACCAAAGTTGCAATGAAATAGAAATATCTATGAGAGTCTTGAGCAGGGGCTCTGTCAAACTGCACACAGTGTGAGCAGCCACCAAAGCAGACACAAGAGCTTGGAGACTCTCATAGCGAAGCTGGCTAATGGCACCAAGACAGGCAACATTACTAAGACTCATTAGCAAGCATTGGCAGTGTGTGTGGCACAACCAGACCTCTCAGACTACTGGGGAGATCTTAACTATGCTCATGGGTGATATCTTGTTATAGTCTAACAAAGAAAGCTTGCTTGAAGGTCAGAGGGCAGAGCTAGCCAGTAGTTAATCATAGAGGTCTGAAGGTCTATACAGACAGACAGGAAGTGATATGGCTGGGCAGAGAAAGGAAGTGATAAGGCAGGAGGAGACAGGAGCTCTGTCTCTTTTCAGCTGGGAAGTTGAGTAGATAAAGTGGCTGTGGTTTTGTTCCTTCATCTCTCTAATCTCTCAGCATCTCCCCCTATATTTGACTCTAAGTTTTATTAAGACCTACTAGAACTCATGGTATAGGCTACAAAACAAATTTGACTCACTGTCAACCTCCCATACAATGGCTAGCCATCTCGGTTTTTGTAAGCACACTATAAAGTTCAAATAACAAGGAAATTATGTAATGACCTATTTTCCAAACCAAATCCCTATAGTTGAACAGCACGTGACTGTATTTTTTGAAGATCAAAGGAGAACAAGCCCTGTGTCTCTGATCAGATACGCATTCTTATCCAGATTAGAAATATGTAAATAAACACAGAATAGGTTTAAGAATGTTAACAGCATCAGAATTTGTGCTAGCCCCAATGAGAAACAGCACAAATGCCCATCAACAGTAGAATGGATCAGTGTAGCATCAGTGGAATAATTATAAAGGCAGTGACAGTGAACAGTGTTATGAGTAGTTTTTTCCTGCTGGTTTGATCCCACTACCGCGCCAAATAACACAGAGATGCTGTATTAGATATAAAGCTGTTGGCCTTTTACTAGTTTCTTATCAGCTAGCTCTGTCTTAAATATTAACCCATTTCTATTAATCTAAGTATTTCCACATGGTCTTATCTTATTGGAGAAAGAGCCCGAAGTTCTACTCTCTCCGTCCTCCATCTTGAATCTCCTCCCTCCTTCTTCCTCTCTCCTCCTTGTCTCCTAGTCCCGTCTATCTTGCTTTCCTATTGGCCAACAGTGCTTTATTCATTAACCAATACGAGAAGCATATTTACAGAATGATGTCTCCTACCAGAACAGAAATAATATGAGTGGGTCTCACAAACGTGAGACTAAGTAAGAGAACAAGCGGGAAGAATGGACATTGCAAGTGAGATGGCTCAGATCGTAGATGCACCTGCCCCAAGCCTGACAATTTGAGTTCAATGGTGGTGGTGACCCACACGGTAAAAGCAAAGAACCAATTCCTCCAAGTCGTTCTTAGACTGCCACATGTGTGCCTTAGCATGCCACCCACATTTGCAAGCATATACAAAATAAAAATTTTAATGTCATTTTAAAGTTTTTTATTTTTTTGAGACAAGGCCTCTCTACACAGCCCTGGCTGTCCTGGAACTCACACTGTAGACCAGGCTGGCCTCACATCCACCTGCCTCTGCCTCCTAAGTACTGGGATTAAAGGTGTGTAGCACCACATCCATTTTAAAGGGTTTTTGTTTTGTTTTTTAAATAGTGGGGAGTTGGAGAGATGGCTCAGTGGTTAAGAGCTCTGGCCGCTCTTCTGAAACCCCAAATTCAATTCCCAGCACACACATGTCAGCTCACTACTGTCTATACATAACTCAGCCAGGAAATCTGGTATCCTCTTCTGGCCTCTGCTGGTACCAGGCATGCACAGTACACAGATATACATGCAGGCAAACCACCCATACACATAAAATAGCAATAAATAAAACAATTTTAAATGAATGACACTGCACAGGGTCAAAACTCATAAACAGCATGAAAAGTATCTTGATGGTTATTTTTGGTGAGGAAGGAGGATTCTGAGTTAGGCTGAAGGAACAAATGGGTCTTTTAATCTCCATATTTCTTTTTTTCTTCTAAATTTAAATTAGAAACAATCTTATTTTACATGTCAATCCCAGTTCCCTCTCCCTCCCATGGGCCCCACCAAACCCCCATCCCATCCCCTTTCTGCTCCCCAGGGACGGTGAGGCCTTCCATGGGGAGTCTTCCAAGTCTGTCACATCATTTGGGGCAGGATCTAGGCCTTCCCCCATGTATCTAGGCTGAGAGAGTATCCCTCTATGGGAGGTGGGCTCCCAAAGTTCATTCGTACACTAGGGATAAATACTGATCTACTACCAGAGGCCCCATAGACTGCCCAGGCCGTCTAAATGCCACCCAAGTTCAGGGGCCTGCTTTGGTCCTATGCTACTTTCCGAACTGTCAGTCTGGGTTCCATGAGCTCCCCCTTGTTCAGGTCAGCAGTTTCTGTGGGTTTCCCCAGCCTGGTCTTGACCCCTTTGCTCATTACTCCTCCCTCTCTGCAACTGGATTCAATGAGTTTCAGCTCAGTGTTTAGCTGGGGATCTCTGTTTCTGCCTCCATCAGCTACTGGATGAAGGCTCTAGGATGGCAGATAAGGTGTAGTCATCAATCTCATTATTGGGGAAGGGCTTTAAAATAGCCTTTCCACTATTGCTTAAATTCTTAGTTGGGGTCATCCTTGTGGATCTCTGGACATTTCCCTAGTGCCAGATTTCTCTTTAAACTTATAATGGCTTCCAAGGTATCTCTTTTCTTGCTTTCCTCTATTCTTCCCTGGTGACAAATGGGTCTTCTGGCTGCTGGGGGTCCTAGTGGTGAGTGGCAGGCAGTCTGGCCTGTGCCTTTGGGGATGGCCTGCTAAGCCTGTGTTTTCGGAAGTCTTGGGGGCACGGTAGCAATACGTCTTTTACATGTTCATCTTTCAGTCTTTTCCCCTTGGCATATCCCCTCAGGTTATCCCAGTAAATCCACAGCCAGAATGGCCATCTGGAGCCACAGCTCACCTAACTTTCTCTGTTCTTTTTCCTCCTGTGGCGCCTCTGCCCTCCTCTGGATCTCCTCCAAGGCTGCCTCCAGCCTCTGGGCTGCGAATTCCACTTCCCTGAAGAGGCAGTTCTGAGGCTTGGCATCTTTAGCTAGGTCTTTGTTCTGATGCTGAAATGATAAGTTGTAAAAGGTAAAGAAAGGGCTGGGGCAGTGGTACTGCTAGATGAAGAGAAGTCCATAAACATTAACAGGCAGCAGGTATGCTTTTTCAACTGTTCATGTGCATGGGGCTGTCTCAACTGTGGTGGCTAAAAAAATTACTGAAGAAAATTTTCCGAAGATTTAAAATACCTAAGATAGTAAAATCAGACAATGGTCCAGTTTTTTGTTGCCCAGGTAAGTCAGTCATTGGCCAAGATATTGGGGATTGATTAAAATTACATTGTGCATACAGACCCCAAATCTCAGGTAGAAAGCATAAATAAAACCATTGAGGAGACCTTCACTAAATTGACTGTGGAGACTGGTGTTAATGATAGGATAACTCTCCTACCCTTTGTGCTTTTCAGGGTTAGAAACACCCCTGGACCATTTGGGCTGAACCCCTATAAATGGCTCTATGGAGGGACCTCCACTGGTGGAAATTGCCTCTGTACCTAGTGTTGATGTGCTGTTCTCTTAAGCCTCTGTTTGCTAGGCTTTAAGGTGCTCAAGTGGGTGAGACAGCGAGCGTGGAAGCAGCTCCGGGAGACCTACTAGGCAGGAGACTTGGAAGTTTCACATCACTTCCAAGTTGATGATCCATATTACGTTAGATGTCACCGCACAGGAAACCTTGAGACTCGGTGAAAAGGCTCACTTTGCGGCTGGTCCAGAATATGTCCTCTTCCTCTGGACCCACCCCCCACTAAAGCCACACTAAAGCCGGGCCTGGCAGTGGGGGGGAACGGACATGAGCAGATCCCTAACACCCACACTAAAGCCAGGCCTGGCAGTGAGGGGAGCGGACATGGGCAGATCCCTGAAGCACACTGACTAGTCAGCCTAACCAAATCCAGTGAGCTCCAGGTTCAGTGAGACCCTGCCTCAAAAGGTGGAGAGTACGGAAGATCTCCCATGTACACAAACATACCCACATGAATACAATAGGCACACATGCATGTGCGTGCACACACACACACACACACAGAGTGCCACAACAAAAGCTATCCCAACACAAAGCCTTATTCTGAAGCATGTAAATTTGTTTTCTGATATTTTAGTGAATGGCTAATAAGATGAATGAATGCTGATTCAATAGGCCTGCTTCACACTCAGTTATCTAGTTAATTCAAAAATACCTGGGAAAATTCTTTCTGCAGGCTACTGCTTGGGTGTCTTTGAGACTCCAGCATGGAGTCCACGAGTCCCGGGGCTACCCCTAGCATCCTCTTCTCTTCCAGAGAGCACTCAGTCTGTTTACTGCAGCTTCTCAGAGCTCGTCTAGACAAGCCTTCTTGACACATTTCTTTGGGTTCCCTTATTTGGGCTTCTGCTAGGAACAAATAACATAAAACTGTTAAAAAGAACTGTAGGCAAAGACTGTTATTTTATAAAACACCAAGAAAGTTCTTACTTAGAGTTTAATGACTAACAAAAATAACACTTATGGGGGCTGGAGAGATAGCTCAGGGATTAAGAGCACTGGCTGCTCTTCCAGAAGTCCTGAGTTCCAGATGCTTCCAGATGCACTTTTGTCTGGATTTCTCCATGAATCCTCCTTTTCTCAGCAGGACAACCTTTGCTGCTTCTCATCAGCATGGCTGAAACAGCTCTTCTAGCCCTAAGCCTGCACACTGTTTCAGAATAGGCCAACGCTTTGCTTCTCTCGGTTTAAACTTTTGAGACCTTGCGTTAATTTCTCAATGAACTGGGCCCTCCTAAATGTGTACAGTTCTCATTCAGTGAGTTGTAGGTGGAAATTGGCTGGAAGCAGGAGCACAGATGTGGTCCCTCAGGCCTAACCTTCAAGAGAGGGCAGGGGGAGGAAAACAGAAACAGTGGAAGGGCAATATAAAGTGGATGGACTCACACCAGTGCACATCCACTTGTCAACTGAACAGCTCGGCTTGAATAACCCATTTCCCCCTCTACTTTCTGTATCCCATAGTTATCATCACCAATGATACAGTGATACAACCTGGGTGTCATCTTCAATTCCTCCCCATCCATCTCATCATTGCACAGTCACCAAATCCGTAGCTGCTAGCCCTTTTCTCACTTCTGATTCATCTTCTCCATGCTTGCTGGCTTAACATAGACACTCATGACATGCTCAGAAGAGCACAGCAGCGTTTGTAACCCGAGTTGCTGCTGTCATGCTGGAGCTCATCCAATCTGCACTCTGCAAGGCCCCCAGGAGGCTCATTCTGAGTGCAGATCACTTGCTGCTTAATGTTTGCATGGCTTTCAGGAAGAGTTTCAACCCCTTTGCTTGGCATCCGGGATTCTCTACAGCCTGGTACTTGCTGTCTCTCTCGCCTCATCTTCTGATCCTCTTCTGTGTTAGGCTTTCACAACATCTGACCACTGTTCCCACCACACTGCTCACAGTTAGCCTTGACTCTGCACATCCAGGTCCCTCTGCCTGGGATGGTGTCAGGACATCCCAGAACAATACTTCCCCTGAAGTGAACTAGGATTTGGTGGCTGAGAAATCTTAAAATTCTAACACAGCAGATCTTGAGGTGATAAAAACATGTCCTTTGAATTATAAATCCTCTGATATTTAAACTGTACCTAAATCTGCCCCCATTTAACAAAGTATACTAGTATAGTCTTCTCTTCAAAGTAGATAATGAAGAAATAAATGGCCATTAATCATCTTAAGCAAGTGGATCCTGAGATGTTTTTAGTCCTCTAAAACCTCCCAAATAAATGATGAGTTGGTAAGCTGAAGGAAGAGTCAGTGAACAGACAGTGAGTGACACGAATTTTAAAGGGAAAGAAGGCAAACGGTACAGGTGCAGTCATTTCTGCTTGTTCCTTTTTTCTCTCCTAGCAGGTGCCCTGACTGCAACAGAGGGACCAGAACCTCACTTTCTGGCTCTGAGTAAACCACTGGTCTTAGATCATGTGGTCTTTAAGTGACTGCTAAGGAACAAACAAATAATACGGACACCAAACTGGAATAGCCAATCATGTGACTTTTTACCCTAACTGTCCTTCCTTCTATAGAAATGTAATAGAAAATACATAGTCCTAAACCAAAGAATATGATTCAGCGGGTGTTACAATCCCTAAATAAAATATACTTTCTAAAAGGTTGAAAACAATATAGCAATATGAGAAATGCTTAACTCACAAATCAAGAGAAAGATAAAGAAAGATGTACACCATCAATAAGTAAAAAGCATGTATGTGAACTAGGACTGAGGTAGAACACAAAAAACCACTGTTGGTTAAGTTAGGATGGTTTCTTGGTCCTGGAATCATTCACAGGAGATCATCCTTTGTTATGAGAGATGTTCTGCAGGGGGACATACCACAGCAGCCCTGGCCACTGGCTACTGCTGACGAGGGGTCAGGAGCACACAATAAGCTGTGACTCCATGCCTGGCAAATGCCTCTTAAAATCTCTTCACCCCATCCCCGGTTTAGAACTGTTCAAGGGGAAAGCCTGTACTTTAATCTTGTTATGTTTATCCAGTATATACTGGAGAAGGAAGCACCTTGTAAAAGAGGACCCAATTGCCTTTCTGTGTTTCAGCAAGGAATTCTACTTAGGTTTTTATTTGTGGGCGGGGTGTTTCGAGACAGGGTTTCTCTGTAATTTTGGAGCCTGTCCTAGAACTCACTCTGGAGACCAGGCTGGCCTCTGAACTCACAGAGATCCACCTGCCTCTGCCTCCTGCGTGCTGGAATTCTACTTGGTTTCATTTGATGTGAAAAATTAGCAAAGCTGCAGAACTTTTTTCCTTTCTAATTTAGTACAGAGAACTGAACTTTTCTGCATTTGTAAATCAGACCACACCCTCAGTATAAGGCATCCAAAATACTGCTTCAATGAGATCAAAATATTGTTATAATCCCCAAAATATCTGTTTAAAATGTAAACTTATTGATCCTCAAACCTAGGTTTACATTTAAACCTGAATACTAAAAAAGCAATAATAAGATCCAACCAGTAATGCATACCATGAGAGGAAAGTATGAGTTAAATCATATTTCCCAGGCTAAAAGAAAATCTCACTGGACCTAAATTATTCCCAGTTTGTACTAAGAACTGTGTTAGTCTTTGTGGGGGGGGGGGCGTGGGGGACACCAGGCCTGCTTCTTTGCCAAAAATATTTGAAGTTGCTCTTGCTTGGTTCTCTTCACCAGAATTGTTTTCTAATTTAGAAATTTACACAAAGAGACACACGGGCAATTTCAAGGATCTCCACCCTAGCAAACCCCACCTTTCCTGGGTGTTGGATGTCCATTGGCCTAAAAGTCAAATCCTGTTATGCAGTCACTTTTGAATGACAATTTTACAAGTATAAACACATTACCTAAATTTATATCTAATACAGTACTTAACAAGGAACAACTTTCATATATGGTATATGTGTGTATGGCTGACAAGAAGTCCAAAACTGACATTTATTTTTTTTTTCCTATTTTCAAAACACGGTAGGTTTGCAACAGCCTAATGCATGCATTTGCAGCGTTTACTTTTCCCATTTCAAGTTCACCCAAGACAGAGAGCTTGCAACAATGCAGAGAAAACTTTGACAATGACTGCAGGGCTGGGGGATGAGAAATGTGCAGCCATGCAAAGCCCTGCGGTAGGGAAACGGAAGTGGCCTATAGATGACAGAGTGGTGGAGCACAGGGACATTCAACAATGCACAGCGTGGACAAGGAAGGGTGAAGATGGTTGTGGGATGAACAGGATAAGGGAACCAGTGCTTGGATGGTGAGAAAAGTGGATGGAGTTGAAGGCTGAAAGGCAGAAGATAACTGACTTGATGACCTCCGATGCTGGCGTTATCAAAGGCCTGCAGAGCTTCATCCAGATGCAAGGCTGCGCGCGACGAAGCTGGCCCCACAGTCCTTTCCCTTTGCCCATGCACAGGGCACAGTGGCGGTTCCGAGGCCTTTGTGACT